GCATTTCAGCACAGCTCCGGAGGGGGGAATCCCTTCCCCCTTCCCTCCTGAAGCTGACGCTGAAGCCGGCATTTCAGCACAGCTCCGGAGGGGGGAATCCCTTCCCCCTTCCCTCCTGAAGCTGACGCTGAAGCCGGCATTTCAGCACAGCTCCGGAGGATGGGGAGGGGAATCCCTTTCCCCCATACACTCGAAGCCCCGCCTATCAGCTGCGCGAAAATGGGGCGTAGGGGGAAAATCGCAAAGCGATTTCCCCCATTGAAAACATCATTTTGCGATCGCTTTTGCGATCGCAAAATCTTCATCGGTATGTGGATTGTTCGTTAAACAGAGCACCCGTTAAGCGAGGCACCACTGTACCATAGTGTAGATGACCTTCAGTGATACATTCTTCCACTTGATATCTATACTAGTTCCTTCATAGCTGCCCTTCTGAGTCTCGGGCTTCTTTTGATTTCTTAGCTGCTAACTCCATTTGGATTAATGATTGAATTGAAGCATAGAAAATCTTTCATAATTTCACTTTCTTCAATGACAGTGTTAAAGTTATAAACATGATTTTTGTTTTCTGAAAGTCTGCAGCAGCTTTTGTACTTTTTTCTTTCATTTTCATCATATATCCTAATCACTGTCTAACTGGGACAGGGTTAGCAGGGCTTCATCTCAAAGTGTCGGAATTTAAAAGGCAAAAAACATTTGCTGCTGAAAGGGTGCAAAAGCATCCACCCTGAGCGCATCTGCTGCCTCCAGCCATTCCTTCCCAGGCAGAAGAAAACCCAAAAGAGGCAGGCTCAGCAAAGAACTAATATGGTGGTTCACATGCTCAGACCGAGCTTTTCCTCCCCATTCTCTCGCTGAATAATCCAGTCTTATGTGACCCAAGCTTAACCAGTAGGAGAACAAAGCCCTGATTGTTACACCTGTGATCATAATTAACCTCAGAGGTAGGAACCTTATGAATTCCTACCTACCATGAGGTTGTGATCCCAGTTATACTGTTGAACTCTATAATATTAGGGATTATAGGGGACAAATGCAGGTGGTACGTGGCTGGCTGAAATAAAATGTAGAAAAACTGTCAATACTTTAGAGCAGAGGTTCCCAACCCCTGGACTGCGGCCGGATGCCGGTTCGTGGCCATGACAGGACCAGGCCACAGGGACAGATCTCCTGCCCCACATGCATTCCCCCCATCCACCCCACCCACATACATGGGTGCCCCTCCCACCCGCGAGCGCATCCCTCACCTCTGGGAGCACGCCCTCCTTCACGCATGCGCACAAGCACACTCCACCCCTCTGGGAGCATGCTCTGCCTTTTTGCACATGTGTGCGAGCACGCTCCACCCCTCCGCTAGCACGCCCTGCTGCTCTGTGAGCGTGGGGGTGTTCCCCGTGAGCATGGGGAGTGCCCCTGCCCCCCTGTGCACGGACCCCCCAACTAGTCCATGTCTCAGAAAAGGTTGGGAACCACTGCTTTAGAGGATGAGTTAAACATTTAAAATGATAGCAACAGGTAGCTGGGCAGATGAAAGAATAATGAGATTCAAGGAGGACAAAGGTGGCTGTTTTAAAAAATATAACATGTACAGTGGTGCCTCGCTTAACGGGCGCCCCGTTTAACAACAAAATCGCATAGCGATTAACTTTTTGCGATCACTTTGCGATGTTCCCTATGGGGAAAAATCGCTTTGCGATAATCGGTACCCTGTTTTGCTTACCGATCATCGCAAAGCAGTTGATCAGCGGTTCCAAAATGGCCACTGGGTAAAAACAATGGCCATCTGCTGTTTTCTGGGACGGATTCCTCGCTTACCAGGCAGCGAAAATGGCTGCCGTATGGAGGATTTTCGTTTAAAGGTGAGTCTGAAGCCCATAGGAACGCATTGAAGGGGTTTCAATGCATTCCTATGGGCTTTTTAATATCGCATAGTGATGAAATCGTGTTTGCAGCGATTTTTGCTGCACCGATTATCGTCGCTATGCGAGGCACCACTGTAGTTTCATTAGATGGTGACACTTTAGGGAACATCCTTCCTAACCTTTTTTTAAGAAGCTGTAAACTTGCCCATGTCTCCCCAGATTATTAGAGGCAAACAGAAGCCTAACAGAAGAGTCTGGAAAGATATTGCTGGAACGAGGGACTGCTGAAGTCCCAGGAGGTAAGAAATGAATACAGTAAGTTGTCTGTTGTGTTGTGCTGCACTTGACTTCAGGTAAGCTGAAATCATCAGCACAACATCTTTTGCAGTGTGACTGTGAAAGAAAAATGCATGAAGCTGCTGCCAGTTTCAGTGACAAGCTCGCTGATTTGAGTCACTTAAGACTTGGTACTCCCCTGCCACCGCCTCTTAAATTTTAATCCTTTCAATTTTTAACCCAGTTTCTTGTTTCAGAATTTCTTCATGACTGTTACATGGAACTGAACAAACTTTCTCTCAGTTTGTATTCACAAAACTGTCCTATTTTCACAGGATAATGATATTAATGTGTTGCAGCAAAACAACAGTTGTGTAACACCCTTAAAATGTCGTTCTTTTTTTCAGGTTTGGTTTTTACGAGAGATCTGAGAATCCACATGGTAAGCTATGCTTTAGTGTATTTTCACGTCTGCATGTCTTCTTTTTTGCATGTTGTTGACAAGGCTCAGATCCCTCCTTACGCTTTCTAGCTTCCTTTGGGCACATTGGTATCTCTACCCTATATTTGTATAAGGGTGTTTTTTGCTGTATAGAAGCATATGGAAAAGGTTTCTTTCTAGTTTCCAGCTATTTTTCTTCCTACCCAACAGGGCTTTTCTAAACATGAAATTTTCAGCAATACAACTTCCCAATAAGATAATGGAATTGAAGCAGATGGTAATAGCAACAAGGACTATGCATATTCTGTACCCTAAGCATTTGCTGCCATATTTACAGAAGCTGAGACAAGGTGCAGATAATGGTGTCTCAGGAACCTCATTTATCAACTGTAGACATCAACAGTGGGCTGAAACTGCAGTCTCTGGAAAAGCCTGATCAAATCCACAGCAACCTGTCATAGCACATGATACCAACCCATATAGTGGTTCAAAATGGCCCACAAACTGGTTCTTTTCTGTTCCAGTTATTTATTTTTAATGGATACACTGTGGTTGCAAGTGGTACATGACTGCCTCTTTTTCCTACCAGTTGTCTGCTTCCCTCTTCAACCACATCCCCTTCACTGCCCGAAATGGTCCTCCATCAATTACCCTATATGTCCATCCCTACCATTGTGTCTTCAATTTTTTTCCTCCTTTGCAGCTTCTCACATGTGGAGGACCAATTCCATTTTTAAGCCTGCAATTAAAATTGCATGTCCAAAGACTTGTGATTATGGAATATGGTGGTTTCCTTGCAGAGGATGTCTCTTCCAGGGGCTGGGGTACACTGTGGTCCCCCAGAGATGGCGGATCTCCTGGTGATCTGGGGTGCAGGGAGAGGAAGTGCAGGAGCTCTTGCAGAAGAACCATCACAATCAATAAGTTTTCCAAGTAATTTGGCTTTTGTGTAATGTATTTCTTGTGTGTATATGTTTCTTTTAGAATTGGAAAGTTGCAACTGACCCTCAAATTAATTCATTTTAATTTGCACAGGCTTGCAAATTAAATCATTTTAATTTGCAAGGGAATGTTTGTGGCAATCAAATGTCTGCACATGGAGGTTCCATATCTGGTCTGAATATGACCAGCAGTTGAGCCCCAATCTCCGAAAACAGATTAACAAATATTATCTTATATATAGCTATGATATTGTGAGCACCACTCATATTTTGAAAGAGGAAGAGAGACAGAGTATCAGCAGTTGTTAGGCAAGGGATGTTTATTGAACTGTCTCACTCCCTGGAAAATTCTGACAGTGTCAGTGTGAATGCTGAAATTACAGAAGGATGCGAGAAGCACTTGGGAACATGATGAATCTCGACCTCTTTGCCAGACTTCAAAATGTTTAGAATCTAGCTCAGCAAGGCTGCAGAGATTTGAATCTTTCTGAACTTCCTGATAAATTGAAAGATGGAGTATCATTACTGGGAGGAGGAAGTGTGTGTTTTTTTGTTTTTTTTGATAATATAGTGCTGGCTCAGAGTGAAAAGTTCAGAGCTGTTGCTAAAGAAAAATGCAGAAGAAGAAGCTGTACTGTTAGCAGATATTTTTTTAAAGGAGAGTAATGCATTGGAAATTAAAACAGAAATGGAAGGGGAAATGCAGGAAAACACCACAGCAATCTAAAATGATTTGACTCTGACAGTGGAGAAAACTGACCAAAATAAAAGTAGAGATACATATAGCATTAGCAGAAATCAAGGATGAAATGAAACATTGGGGAAAAAGTTAAGGAGATGGATAGAATGGCCAAGGCTCATGTCAGAAATCAAGGATGAAATGAAACATTGGGCACAAAAGTTAAGGAGATGGATAGAATGGCAGACAGTTTTGTGAGTATGCAGATAAGTGGTTGTTGTGGGTTTAGATCCGGCTGTGAAAGCCTTCGCGAAGACATATGCAGATAAGCTTACTGAAAAGAGCCCGAAAAACCCACAACAACCAAGCTTACTGAAAGTTAAAAATTTTTTTGATTGATTTGGTGAATAGAGAAGGAATGGCCATCCTTTGCACAGTGACAACACTAAGCTAAGCTACTAAGTACTCATTTGTCAGATTGCCCTTGGAAAGTGTCAGGAACCTTCAGTGGGCCCAAAATGCAGCAGCTAGATTGCTAATTGGGACTGGTCACAGGGATCACATAGCCCCTGTTACAGTGGCTCCACTGGCTGCCAATCTGTTTCCAGAAAAAAAAATCAAAGTGATGGTTCTAACCCATAAAACCCTAAACAGCTTGGGCCTAAGCTATCCCAAGGATTGCATCTCCCTTTATGAGCCTGCTTGAGTGGTGAGATATGAGCGACCTTTCTCTCAGTCCCGCCACCTGGATAGGTGCGTTTGGAGGGTCCACAGAAGACAGCCTTCTCTGTTACTGTTCCCAGACTGTGCAACTGCCTCCCACAGGAGGCTCTTTGCTCTCCTTCTGTAAGCAGACAAAGACAAGTTTCCCCTTAGTGATTGGCGGCCTGAGTGGGGTTTTTTAATGGATTGTTGTACCTTAACTTACTTTATTTATTTATTCCATTTATACCCCACCTATCTGTTCGTCGCAAACACTTTGAATGTGTTTTGATGTTGCTTAGTATTGTATTCATTTGATCTTTTTCAGTATTGGTATAGTCACTCACTGTTAACTTCAGTACTGTATTTTAACTGTTGTAAGCTGCTTTGGGTCCTTTTAAGGGAGGCAGAGGCACTCGAGACCAAATTGCTAACTTGCACTGGATTATGGAGAAAGCCAGAGAGTTCCAGAAAAATATCTACTTCTGCTTCATTGACTATGCAAAAGCCTTTGACTGTGTGGACCACAACAAACTAGCCTCTCTCGGCGTTAGGCCCCTCAACCGTCCATCCTGGCTGTGCCGAGTAATTTGGGTAGATCTAGGTGGGAGAAGGCAATCTGCCAAATATCGAGGTCCCAAACCATTTAGGGCTTATCAACAACCTCCGATATGCAGATGACACCACTCTGATGGCAGAAAGTGAGGAGGAATTAAAGAACCTTGTAATGAGGGTGAAAGAGGAGAGTGCAAAAAACGGTCTGAAACTCAACATCAAAAAAACTAAGATCATGGCCACTGGTCCCATCACCTCCTGGGAAATAGAAGGGGAAGATATGGAGGCAGTGACAGATTTTATTTTCCTGGGCTCCGTGATCACTGCAGATGGAGACAGCAGCCACGAAATTAAAAGATGCCTGCTTCTTGGGAGGAAAGCGATGACAAATCTTGACAGCATCTTAAAAAGCAGAGACATCACCTTGCCAACAAAAGTCCGAATAGTCAAAGCTATGGTTTTTCCTGTAGTGATGTATGGAAGTGAAAGCTGGACCATAAAGAAAGCTGACCGCCGAAGAATTGATGCCTTTGAATTGTGCTGCTGGAGGAGACTCTTGAGAATCCCCTGGACTGCAAGGAGAACAAACCTATCAATTCTAAAGGAAATCAACCCTGAGTGCTCACTGGAAGGACAGATCCTGAAGCTGAGGCTTCAGTACTTTGGCCATCTAATGAGAAGAAAAGACTCCCTGGAAAAGACCCTGATGTTGGGAAAGTGTGATGGCAAGAGGAGAAGGGGACGACTGAGGATGAGATGGCTGGACAGTGTCTGCGAAGCAACCAACATGAATTTGACACAACTCCGGGAGGCAGTAGAAGATAGGAGGGCCTGGCGTGCTCTGGTCCATGGGGTCACGAAGAGTCGGACACGACTAAACGACTAAATGAAACGAAAGGAGAAAGACAGGATAAAAATATTTTAAATAAATGAGTTTTTGAGACACTACAATTCAAAGAATATATATTAGGAATTCTAGTTCAGAAATGAAAATTTTCAAGCGCTTCATCTTTGAATGAAAACACAGGACTAGAGAGCTCTACAGAATGCTATGCTGTATCTGATAGTCCAGAATAAGTAGAATTTACTAATATCTGACTTTTGTAGCTACTGTATCATGTGAGACAGACATTTGGTTAAGCACTGTCTGTGACTTGTCAGGCTCTATAGTAATCCTGTATATTAGAAAACAAGCCTTTTTGTCTGTTTTGCTCATTTATCTGCCATTTTGTTCTCCCTATGTAGAACGTCTACGGTTATACGTCTGCGGATGAGCCTGTGAATTATCTAAGGAAAATCCAGGCTGATATACTGATGATCATGTAAGTAACAAATCATCATAATCAGTTCTTACTATTTTCTCTCTTTTTTGCTTGAGTGGAAGGGGCTGCTGGAAGGAAGAGAGATTGCTTCACTGACCTGTTGCAATACAGGGTTGAAAAATTATTAGTATAGTATAAAAATCTTCTTTCACTGCAGAAGAAAGATCGGAAAAGGTTTAGGGTTTTTTTTTTATTCCAAGCTACAATACTCACGGTTTGTACTGTCTGGAAGATTCAAAAAATAGTGATAACAAAAAGTAACTTTACCAATTTTTGCTGTGGAGGTCAGCTTAATGCTTATGGAACAATATTAAATTGGTAGTAACTGCATCTACGTTCTACTATGTAATCTGTTATTTGTTTGTTTGTTTATGCATTTATTTATTTATAATTATAACACAGACATACAAAACAAACACGAACATATATGTGGGGAGATAATTTCCATACTGTATATCCATCTGGAATATAATTCTGACTACATAAACCATATTACCTACTAACATATTTAGGCCATATCCATCTAGTATATAATTCTGACTACATAAAACATATTACCCTACTAAACATATTTAAACCATTAAGATCAAAAAGTTACTTCCTAGCTTTAGAATGAGTAACATACATACTTTATCTAATATATAAACTTAGATCTATATTGATCTTATATTCAAACCATCCTTCACTGCATAGACCAACTATGATTCATATATTACTTAGTGTTTTTTATGTCTCTGACTTATCATCAATAACTTCTATACAATTATAATCAAGATATGTATTCTAATTTAAGCATTATATGTACTTATCAACCATTTAAGACATTCAGCAAGTAACTTTCCAATTTTTGTTACATTTCTCAGCTCCATGTATAGAGCAGGGATTTCTGATTACTTATAGCCTTGTAAATCTAGTTCATTTCCTGCATTCTTTTTACTAGCTTATAAGTGCCATTTATAAAGTCTCTATAAATTCTGTCACCTGCATACCCCTCTATCCAATACTTATCATAAGCATTCCTAATTTCATCTTTAAGATAGCTGATTCACCAAAAAAAACCCTCTGAGCCAGGTCAATACATTTCTCAGAGATCTCCACTTTTGCAGATAAAAATATATTGTATACCTAATCTTGTCTATATAACTATAGTAATTCACACATCACTATATATGTACCATAGAAACAAAAGCATCTAATATGATTATTCTTCATTGACCTTTCTAAAATTCATAATTACATATGCTTGTCTACCATTGAGATTCCCACCTGGCCAAAATTGCTCATAGTAAATTACTCATATTGGTTTATGTGTGACTATATATCTCTCAAACCAATTTTTTTTTATCATTTAATCAACAGGTTACTTTCTCCCTTTTCATTTTTGCTTTTCAGCTGCAGTATCATACTTCTAAGATTCCAAGATTCGTCTCTTGCTCCCCTTTTGCCACTTTTGAAATGCCATCTATGAGATCTCTTTAAGGCATTTTCTATCCAATTTACTAATTTCCTCCCAATATAATCGATGTCTTGATTTTGAAGCAATACAGATCTCTCCGATCTCTGATCATAAATTTCTGCCCCTAAATTCACCCATGCTTTCCCTTTTACATTCTTTTCAATCGAGGTAATCTCAATATGCTTTCCCCCCTTATCCCCGCCCCTCCTTTCCTCGTTTTTAAACATTTCATCCTGCTTTTTAAGGAAAACAGTCTCTCTCCCTCTCTGGCGGCAGTCATTCAGTGAATTTGATACAATCAGTCGGTTTGTCTCCCATCTCCTGCTTCTTAAGAACAATAGTCTCTTCCTCTCTCTCTGACAATAGTAGTTATTCAGTAAGTTCAGTGAATTCAGTCGGTTTGTCTCCTATCTCTTGTCTTAATATCCAAGCTGAGAAATGTTGTCTTAATTTCTACCTTCATTTCTGAAATTTGAGCCTTGAGATGATTGATGAGATTGAAATTTCTGAAGATAGCATACAAAATAGGCCTCCATTGTAAATTCCAATAGAGTCTCACCCCCAATATCCCATCCGTAACCATAAAAGTCAAACAGACTAATTGTTTAGGTTTCCCTCATGGTTCCTTGGCCAGCCCGAATTCAAAGTCTTGCAGAGGACAGTCTGGTCATAAAAATGACTATTTGATTTATAATCCACCTTTATGGCTCAAAGTAAAGTTCCATAGATTAAATTGTTCAGAGTCATTCAAGATTCTCAAGATTCTAATTTATAAAATGCCAATTCTTAGGGAGGGAGGGTTAAAGTGGAAAAGACAAAATTAGTTTCACTTTCTCAGTTCTCTCAGTTGTGACGCAGTAAAAAAAAAAGACTCCAACATTGCCAAAGATTCTCTGCTGCTTAGAGAGCTATCTCCGCAATTAACTCGTGAAGTCGCCATGAGGAAACTATTCCGAAAAAAACAGATTGCAAGTCTGATTCTCCCGCGTCTCCAAGCTCCCTTTGCTGCAAGACTACTTCTCCTGTGGAAAACTTGCCCCCCCTTTCCTGGGGGGGTCAGCTGACTCGGAATAAAACCCAGGTGTTCTCAGAGCCCTGAGAATTCCCCTGTTCTCGCCACCTGTTGCTCCGCCCCTCTCCATAATCTGTTATTTATCAACAGTATCAGTCAAACAGATAAATGAAAGCTTACCATAAATCCAGTGAAGTCTTCAGCTAGACCTGCTCATATCTTGCATAGTTATAGCATACCCATTGCTTCACATATTTATTATTTATTTATACTATTTATATGCCAACTTTTTCCCCGAAGGTCCTCCTGTTGTTACTTTCAACCAGAAATATGTAAGAACTGATTTTTTTTTTAGATCACAAAATGGGCTTTTTAAGAAAGATTCTGATGTGTTCCGTGCAGAATTTTTCATGAGAATTCACCAAGGCTATAAGACCTTCCTCAAAGAGGTGAGTGCCAACCTTGGGGCTGGGAGTAGGGTGCCACTAGTTTGTCCTGGTTTGGTTTGGTTTTGCTTAGCTTTGGCTTTATTGTGTAGCTGCTGCCATGTGCACCCTGAGATATGTATATTAGAGGAAAGAAAAAAATATATATAGGAGTTGACTTAGGTATGTCACACAATTGTAATTGCACAAAACTTGGTTTTACGTGCCAAATTTGCTATATAGTGATGCAGTGGGAATTTTTTGTGACATTTAGGCCAGCTGTGATAATCATGAAGAGGGTATAGGTCAGTAATGGCGAACCTTTTCAGGCCAAAGTGCCCGAAACTGGTAGGGGAGACCCAGTGGGTGGCAGAACTGGAAGTGGCAGCGGAAGGGGGACTCCTGGGCATGGAGGTGCCTCGAGACCCCACTCCAGACCTGCCGCCAGCGACAGCTGCTCCGGATCCTGGCCCGCCACCTGTCGAAGCGCCAGCACCACAGCTGCAGCCGCCTCCTGAGGTTTGGCTGCGGGGTGGGGGAGTAGTGATCTGGCGACTTACGGCGCACATGCCCACACGTGCCATAGATTCGCTATCGCTGGTATAGGTCATGCATAAGGAAATAATGATAAACAGGAGAGGGAGAGTAAAATAAACACAAGCCATTTCAACAAGCTTTCCAATTTGCGGAGCATTCCTGTGTTCCTTTCTGGACCTGGTGGAAAGAGGTGTGTGTAAACTAATCCTACATTATGCATATGAATGACAGAATTCACATTTTGTCTTCATTTTTTAAAAAGCCCTTGCTGTACAGAGGCCTGGTGAAGATTTCAGTAGAACTACTGTACTGACCTGTTTACTTGCCAGTGCCAGACAGAAACTTGGGGACGGGGTGGTGGGGTGGTATGAAGTTACCCAGCCTCCCTTTAAGAACCACTAGGATGGCAAAAAAGGACACTGTATTTACTTGCAAGTGATTTCTATAGACTGCATCTCTGTGGTCTGGTCCATGAAGCTGGGCTGGAAAAGGAGGTCTCGTCCACCATTTCCCATGTTGTGTGTGTCTGTGCATCTTCTGAATGGTGGCGGCTGTGTTTTACAGGAAAGTAGGGGCACCCAGGTTGGGGGGAATCTTATAAAAAGTGCCCCTATCCTATTGGGGGAGTTCCTTCTTCCTTCACCACAGCCAACCCATTTGCAGACCCACACACACCCGCCCACCTCCAACCTCTGTATAGCATTCTGGCAGAGCTGCCACAGAAAAGAGATGATGGAGAAGTCACTTTTGTTCATCAGACGTACACACATACTTCCAGATCCAAGCCTAAATACAGTTGCTAATTCAAACTAGGAATTGACCCACTGGCTGAATTCCTGTTCATAGTATAAATGTCCATCCATTCATCCCTAGTAAACAAAGCACGGTTGCCGTGGTTCTCAGGGGCTCATGTGCGTGCTGGGTTGGTGTGTGCAACCCTCAAGAATCATGCCAGCAGTACTTGTTTCCTGGGGGGAGGGGGAGTTGTGCTTTGGCTTATGCTAGGAACCAGATTTCAGTCTGTGACTCAATGGACCCTGCAGAACACTTGCATAACTGTTCATTTACCAATTTTCCACTGATTCATTGGGTCAATTCTAGATGAAACTAATGCTTAATTCTGGGGTCCTGTGAGTTTGGTTTTATTCTCCTACTTGGCTGCCTTTTTATGCTTTTGATTGTGTGATGTTATGCTGTTTTGTAATAAACTACAACTTTGAAATGGAGTAGCATGCAAATACTGAGTTTGGTTTTATTCTCCTACTTGGCTGCTTTTTTATGCTTTTGATTGTGTTATGTTATGCTGTTTTGTAATAAACTACACAGAGAACTTTGAAATGGAGTAGCATGCAAATATTGTAAATACCGCATTTCCCCAAAAATAAGACCGGGTCTTATATTAATTTTTGCTCCAAAAAACACATTAGGGCTTATTTTCAGGGGATGTTTTATTTTTTTTCATGTACATCAATCTACATTTATTTAAATATAATCAAGTCATTTTCTTCTGGTTGCTGCACAATGGTGGAGGGCGGGGTTTCACTTAACTAGGGCTTATTTTGGGGTTAGCTCTTATAGTACATGCATCCTGAAAAATCATACTAGGGCTTATTTTCAGGTTAAGTCTTATTTTCGGGGAAACAGGGTAATAATTCAAACAGCATATTTGTTATTTGAAATCCCTGTTTTTTTTCCTTCCCATTATTTATTTTCCACTTGCCCACAGCACTTCAACTTAGTCAGTGTTCCTGGGAATCACTATGTCCACCTTAATGAGCCTGAGGTTGTGGCTGGCATCATCAGCACTTTTCTAACTAAGGATCACAGCCTCAAAGCCAGGCTGTAACCAGGGCTGACCTTACAGCTGTTATATGAAGACATAAACAACCCTAGAGATGAATTCCATATGAAGAACCAGCCCTGCTTAACAGAGAAGATGGCTGTGCAGCTGCCTTCAAGAAGAATAAACTTTGGGCCACATGCTTGCACAAAAGATTTGTGTCATGAGATTGAAGAAATACCGGGGCTATATTTATTACTGCCAAGAAGGTTCTTTCAGTCACAAAGAACTCTTCTGCTTCTAGTCCTCTATGGATTACTCTTAAAGTGTTTTGTACAAATAGGTATTTATCTTTCTATTCTGTAACCAAATCCCATGCAGTTCTTTTAACATCTCAATTTGGTGATAAACAAAAGGAAGTGAGGATAATATGATTTGAGTGGGTGTACTAAAACATATATATTCATGTACTTGATGTTCATGTCCTTTGTGCAGCAGTGGCTTTTCTGGCATAGAGACTCATGTTCTAAAAAGACGACACTTGTAAATTCAACAAAGGGAAAGCATTAGCTACGCTAGTCATGCTGGTTAAATTAAACCCTTTGGCAGGAACTTGAAAAGCAGGCAGGAGCTGAGGAGATGCTGCTTGGTACATGGGGTGCATGTGGACTGTAACAAAATTATCTGGGGGTGGGCTGTGTGCAACAATAAACAAGCACACTTAGGCAAATGTAAAGCACCTCTGAGTGCCTTAGATCTAGAAAACCCTTGAAAGGATGACTATAAGTCAGAAACAACTTGACAGCACACAAAGTTGACCTTTGTGTTTTGGACTTCTGGTTTTCATTCTAGGTTCAGTGAAGTCTAATCCAATGGCCACTGTGTAGTGGTGCCCACAGGACTGAAATAGATTTTGCCCCAGAACAGGAGGGCAAGCTGACAGAGAAAAGAGCATGTACAGTTCTCCAGTGACTTTTCAATGTGAGACTTGATTTTGCAGTTTCCTTGAAGTGTTTAGGGTAATTACAAGCATGGAGGGTGGCTGTGTACCATCAAGGGGTTGGAGCACCTTGCTGCAGAGGAGGATGGAAGCTTGTTTTCCCACTCTGCCTCCTTAGTAAAAGGCCGACCTGTGCAATCTTGGGAAAGCTGAACAGTCCCGGAGCACCACCAGAATGAGAGAATGTTTAAAAAACTTTTAAGCATCTTATACCTGGGAGGTAGAAAAACCTAGGAAAGGTTACATTAATTGGAATCAACTTTATGGCACATACTCAGTATGAGCAAAAAATGCTTCAGGTTTTCCTCACTGCAGAGACAATTAACAACATGGTGTAGATTCTTGACCAGTAAAATAAGCAGGTCATTTCCCCATGAGGAAGAGGCAGGATACGATATATTCCACCATGACCATTATTCTCTGGCAATACCAGAAATATTTTACATTATATTCACTACCCATCTTCATTGACAAGAGCTTTACAGAGTTGTAGAAGCAGCTCTTGTAGACCTGATTATCTGAATATTTGTCTTGTAAGACACCTGGCAACCACAGGTCTAGAAAAGTGGCAGAATAGTGATGATTAAGAAACCAAAAGGCATTCCATAGCACATAGAAACCTTTATTTACAACTGAAGGTCGCTCTGAAGGAGTGCCTCAGAAGACATCACCCAATGTGGACAGGAAGACATTGGGTGAAATCAGGAATGTTCTGGGAAACTCTTAATGTAGTTCACATAGTATTCAAGTACAGGGAAACCCATTTGTGAGCTTCTAGCATACTTGGCAAACAAAATGACTCTGTTTTAAAAAAACTCATATCCATTTGTTTCACTCATAATGAAAATGGTATTGAAGAGGAAAAGAGCAGGGATTAGTTTGTGCTTCCTGAAAATGCCACACAAACCCCTGTCTGTGCGCTGCTTACTGCAACCACAATTCTTTTGCAAATGACTAACTTTCTGCAACTCAATAAGGCCGAAATTTCCGCTGTGCTCTCATAAGTGCAATTTTCTGTTTATCCTCTTCAAATTTCTTCCTCAGCTGGGCTATGTCTGAAAGACACAGAAAGATACTGAGATAAGCAGAGGTTAATGAATCCCAACAGATCTCACATTTCTAATATTTAAAACTGCAAGATGTCGACCTTTTATTTGCAAAGTTCAAACTGTGTCTCCCAGGAGAAGTGCCAGGCTGTATAGTCTTGAGCAAGCTGCATAGTCCCAGAAGGCCCCGAGAGAAAGGGAATGGTAAACAACTTTTCAGTGTTCTATACTAGAAATCCCAGGAAAAGACTGCCATAAATCAGTCTACTTGACAACATGTAATTAATTTACTTGCTACTAGGTTTATGTTCTAAAACACCCTAGTAGAATCAAACTGCATTTTTGTCTGGCTAACAAATGAAACTCAACTTAAAAGTGATTCTACCAGGTCTAAGCAAATAGCCCAACTGAACTGGTAGGAGATGTCAGGTGGATATAATGTTTTTGTAGCTTCTGGTTTAGACACTGCTGCCTCAATTAGGTAAACTAATAGAAGGCCTTCTGTTCCAAACCAGTAGGCCATGAATAGCTACCCTGCAGCCGTCAGCTTAAGCAATCTCTCAAGCAGTCCACAGGGCAGAGAGGAAGAGGGGAAAATTAGGATCAACTTCATCCAACACTGGCATGTGGCTCCCAGACTCCGCCCTGGGGTATGAAAAGTCTCAACTCTTGCCATAGGTTATATATCTTTGGGGCAGTCAACGGAAAGAAAAAGGCTGCAGCCATGTGAAAATTCACACCACCGTCTTTCACGTCTTGTACAACTACTTCAGAACATAAATTTCTATTGAAAGGAATCACTAGATCACAATTCTCTCCCCCCTTGCATCTGTCCGTTCCCCTCCCCTTTTGTGCATCCTGTGCATGTGCAGTGCTGGCTCAGAAAGACTACATTTTTGTCTGGGAGCGTGAGCTATGCCAGGATCACCCTGTTCTTCTCAGAGTCTGTGTAATCAAGTCTAATTGTCCCCAAAACTCTGAATTCATGGAAGAAACCCACAGTCTTTTGAAGGTGTTCTTGGTGAATTTTGATTTCCTTTCTAGATTTCAGTGCGTTCAGCTGGGAAGACATTCTTTGTACCTCCAAATTCCTGAACTTCAGATATTTCTAAAGAAATAAATCTTGTGATAAGTGCAATGGGACTTAGCCTGAAAGTCTAGCTCAAAAGCTATTTTTTTCTCTAGTCCCACATCCAAGAGACTCAAACCAATAAAGTCTTGCTGTAGCTTAAGTCTTTTCACTTCACCATCTTTCGGATTTAGCCCAACACTAAGAATCATGGCACACTCCTGTTATACAGAGCATAACAACAAAGTAATACAGTTTTGTGTGTGCCTCCTCTCTCAGACCAGCCTTTTAATTGTTGCAACAACACTCCTCATCTCTGGGACAACTTTCAGTCATCTATTAAATAGCTATTTTATTAAACTTTTTAAAAACCCTGTTTCTGGAAAGGTCTGGGTGTCCTCTCTACTATCCTCTGAGAAAACTACTCAGGCTGTGTTCCTTCTTCTCCAGGCACAGATAAGTGATTTCCAACTAATTATAGGGACACTACTCACGTTCCCTCTTGGTCTCACGATGCTGCCAGGCATAGAAATTGAGGAGCTCCTTGTGTGCTCGCTTGCGCTTCTCCCTTTCCAGTGCCCGCAAGCTGGCTGCCTCTGTCCGTGGTAATCCAGGCCTCCGACCTTTCCTTGTCACCTTTACCCAACCTTCCTCATCTGGAATGCCATCTTCTTCCTGAGCTTTTGCTTCTTCCTGTGTCAACAGAAGGAATATGTGTCAAAATGGAAAGAGTGAGGAAGGAAAGCGTCTTTCCTCAAGTCTGCAGGAAAATGTCCTTTGATTTCACTGTTGTCCCCCAATCTCAGAAACATTACACAAGGTCATATTGCAACTTTTTCTTAAATGATGAATGAGGCAGCCCCAGCATCAAGTCCTTTATCAGATACCAAGTAGATAGAAATGGGCTTGCCAAAAAATAACAAAACACAGGATTGTGGTTAGCCAGAAAATGCTGATCATGCAACCTCCCAAATACTCTGGAACAAACAGATGTGGCAGAAGGGGAAAAAATTCTGAAACCAATTATTTTTGGAAAATGTAGTGCATGATTGCAGTTTTTCTATTTATTCTGCATTTCATTATATTCTACTTCTCCCTCCAAGGAGCTCAACAGAGCACATCACAAGAACCTTCTGAGATAGCAGAGACACGGTGCTGACCAAGCCAAGGCACCCAATAACTTCAGGTAGAGAACCGGTCTCCCAGGACCTAGTGCAGCATTCTGATATCTAGACCACACTAACTCTCTGCTCATCCATTACCAATGCCAAAACATACAGCAGCTTGGATCTTGAAGGGAGGTTTGCCGTCCATACCTTTGCAACCTTTTCGTCGTAGGCTTGCATAAAAACATCCACCTCTGTCTTCAGCTCAGCAGGATCTACAACTGAAGCTGCATACTGGGTAATCCATTCTGAAAATAGTAATAATAGAATTGTAAAGGTCTGCTTTCTGCTTATGAAGGAAATCTATGGTTAAAGCATCCCTAACAGATAGCCATCCAAAAACCTCTAATGAAAGAAAGTCAGCCATCTTCCAGGGTAGCCTGTTTCACACTCAAACAGTTATTTATGTCAGGGCTTAGTCGAAATCTCTTTTCCTGTAACGTGAATCTACTACTTGGGATCTTACCCTTTGGAAGACAACAAATGGTTACTGTGGAATCATCGTTAAAATACCATATGGAAAATATATATATTTTGGAAACCTGACAGTTCTCTCTGCATACATTCCAAACCATGCAATCAATTATGGGTGCGCAACACCCTCTCAAAAAAGTGAAAGAGAAATAAAGAGAAATCATCACACCATTCCAATTGCCCCCCCAGTCTTGTCTGATGTTTGAAACAAGAAGGGCCAGGCCTGGTGAGTGAGTACCTAGATGGGAGCCCACCAAGAAAGACCAGAGAACTCCAAACACTGCCAGAAAAGATTACTGCCTGAAACCAGGGAGAGCCATTATTTCCAGTTAAGAGCTGATAGTACTGAGCCAGGAGAACCAGTAGTCTGACCCAGGATAAAGCAGCTTTCTGTTTTCCTAAATCTGACTCTTTTCAACTTGTACAATAACAACTTTACAAGAAGCTTGTTTCTCCTTCAGGTCAATAACTGGCAAACTGGCTAGTTTTAATAGCTGCTAAACAGGCACGGTTAAGGAATTTACCATGTAACTACTCAAGCCATCTGGCTATAAAAATTTTATTATAACAAAGCCCAATGGCCTGAAAACACTGTTCTCTGGACTGTAAAACAAATCAATGCCTTCCAGAACATGGCAGGTACTGCTAAATTATATCATCTCTGTTGTCACCGGAATTTACCTCTTGGGGCTGTAGTCGTTGGCAATGCTATAAAACATAATGCCATTGACACTGGATGGTTGCCAAGCCACTACTCATTCTGTAGTCACTTCCTGGCTTGTTAAAATTGCAGAGGAATAACTAAAAAAAAAGAGTCAGACAACACACTACACAAAGACTTTTTGCTAGTACCCTTGGCAATGAGAATAGATGAAAATGGAGAGGGAAAAATCTCAACAGCAGTCTTTGTATTTGGGTGACAGAAAGTTGATGGTTCTTCCGATGGTGATGGACTCCAAATCTTACCAACCAGCATGGCCACCAGTTAGGGAGTTATTGTACAGTCTAGCAACATTTTTTCCCCATCCATGGTCTAAGGAGCTCAAGGCAGCAGACATGGGCTCTCTGCAATCCACTCCTACATTTCATCTTTGCATCATTTGTATGAACTAAGCTAGGCTGAGAGACTGATCTGAAATCATTCTGTGAACATCGTGGTTTAATGTATAAATGAATGCTGGTCTGTCTGGGACTTATTTTTCCTGAATATGAATCCCTACACAGCTATATACTGTACCAGATTCAGAAGCTAGAGGCAAATTCTATGCTAACATACTCTGCTTAACTTACTTTGAATGCCAGTTTGCACAGGATGCTCCTTGGATGATATTACTAAGGGCTCTTCTGTTGAAAAGGATTTGGCAGCCTGTACTCCAGCAGGATTCTTGAAAACGATGTAAGCAACATGGAACCCCTAAGAATCGAAAAGCACATTATTATTGTGGAATGGGTCTATTTTTATCTGCATATAGCCCAACAAATGAAATACTCAATCGGTTGTGGAAATGATTCCATAAGCGGCATTCTTATTTTCCTTAGTCCTTTTGACTGTTCACCCTCCTTCATCACTGTATTTCTTCCAACCTGGAAGCCAGACCCCTCTCCTCTACAGATCTGCACAGGGACTGACTGCTAACTGCCTCAATGACTCAGTTGTGTGTTTAGCTTCATGTGCACAACTTGACTTTTAGGAGGCTTGGAAGTGTGGAGAAAGAAGGAAACAGAGCAGCAGCACACACTGACTCCACAGAGGAACACAAAGAAATGGCATGGAGATTGCAGCCAGGAGACTGTATGCATCCTTTCACTCAACCCATCATTAAATAGTTGCCAAGGGTACTTCCCAACAAAAGTTGGGAAGGAGAGATTCTGAATTCAGTGCCGTTCTGCATATGATGATGGCAGTTCTTTAGTGTTGGGTATTGGACGCACAGGAAGGCAACAAATTGCAAGGAGTGTCTAAGAAAAGAATGGTCACAATGCACACATTTCTTCCACACAACATGAAAAGCTCTCCATTCTCCTTGTCAAAATGCTGATACTGGAGGTTTTACACATCCCTGGGCAGGATTACCAAGGGCATCTTAGCTTTGAAGAACTTGGTCCTGGAGCCTTCTGTTTTTTCTCCCAGTGTTGGTTTCTCACACATCTCAACAGACTGTACTGAGCAGAAGGTAGAGAAAAGTCTTGACAAGCATTCCTGCAGACAAGCAAATAAAAGTTTAGCACAATTCACAGCTACAGGTGAAGCAATTTCAGAAATCATCTCTACTATCTAAAGAACCTTCCCATGGATCCTGTACTAAATCCTGCACCACCTTCCTGACTGACAACTTCTCCTTGCTTTCTCTTAAATACCCTCAGCTGTTTGCTTAAGACCTTTTTCAGAGGATTTATTCAAAGTTTTGCTGGATCAGACCAACTGAAACACTTCCTTGAAAAAACTGCAAACTTCTTCAGGTAGATGTGCTGGAGTACAACTTCTATCATCTCCGGCCCAACTGATATACAGTGTCCAAGATACCTAAGCAAACCTTACAAAAATTCTGTCAGATAAAATTCCTGTACCTGTAATTCATCCAGAGGGTGGTGATAGACAGGGAGACAGAGTTAGACAATTCCTGGGGGGAGATGTGTTAATTTGCTGCAGTGAAACCTAAAGAGACCCTTGTGCCATCCTGAAGGCTAACAAGTTGTATTTGGCATAAGCTTTAATGGGTTTTAGTCCAAGGCACCCAAAGAAGTGGACTGAAGTCCACAAAAGATTGTTTCAAATAAGCCTCTTGAACCAAAATCCCATTGGTTTACATCAAGGGTCCCCAACCACCATGGCCTTGGCAGGACCAGGCCATGGAGACAGATCTCCTCCCCCTCCCCTGCGGATGCAACCATACACCCCAATGTGGATGTACGGACACCTTCCACACATGGGACGCATGCACAGCCCCCCCACATGTACGCACGCCCCCGCATGCATGCACAGACACATAGACACCGCCATGCATGGAAGCACACACAGCCCCCGTGCACACATGCCCCCCACATGCATGCAGACACACATGCCTTGCCCACACACAGTTGCATGCATGCATCCACCCCCCAGACGCATGCACACCCCGGAAGCACAGATGCACGCATGTTTCCCTCGGCCCACACACGCATGAATGCCCCCAAACGCCCCCCGCCCCCCCAACTGGTCCGTGGTGCCAAAAAGGTTGGGGACCACTGGTTTTCACAATCATGGAGGCGCCATCAGGCTCTCCTCCGGACAACTGTTGCCACATAGGTTACAAAACTGGGTGTGTGACTGATCATGGGAAGGGCAGCCTGCAGGAGGAGAAAAAAGGTGTGCAGTAGACCTTACATGTGTGCATTTTCTCGAGAACTCTGGCCTTAGTTTTTTAAGCCTGTTGTTTTTCCTTTACCATTAGATAAACCAGTAACACATTTATGACTATAGTGAGAACTGTAAGAAAGACTCCCTGGTTCAAAGATCAGTCTCTTACTATTTGTGCTACTCCTCTTAATTATTCAGACCTTCAAAGGCTAGAGGTTGCCACACACACAAAATATGCTGGTACTCTCCACAACCTTCTTCCCATGGCCTTTGCAGTGCCCCTTTCCCCTCGTTGAATAAACTCACCTCTGTGCAGTATGGAGGGACATTAAGGACAAAAAGAGTACAGTTTTGAGGCCTGCTATGATTTTTGTCATCTCTGACTTTGTGTTCCTTCACATAGAGGTAGTGAGGTGACTGATGCTTTTCAGAAAACTTTACTGGTATAGCTGAAAGGAGGAAGAAAAGTTTTGTGAGCAAGAACCATACCCCAGAGAGGAATCTGTATATTTAAACAACAACAACAACAAAACAAGCAAACCACACGCAACAACCAACAGACTATACCCAGCAACTTTGACACCTCTGTCTCTCCTTGCCAATTACTTGATCCATTTATCTGAAATATCCAGCAGTTCTAAAAATGTAGATGGGTGAGATTCCTAAAGAAACACATCCATAATGGTGCTAAGCTAATCAGAATTTCCACAAGTACACTGACATCTGAACAATGGTGGAAACACCAAAACACAAACAGTTGCATTCACAGCCAAACTATGGGTGACAGAGCGTCTATATTTGTCTGCTGATATGCTCATACCTGACTGGGCAAAGGAACAAGTGAAATAGTGTGCCACCCTGAACACAACTAATTTAGTCTGATTGTGTAAATTATGCAGAATCAGGCATCCTCAGTACTTTGCCAGGTGCACCAAGGATGACCAGAAATCTCCATATATTGCTAGGAAAAAAAAATCTTCCCTGAAAACCTGGATGCAAATCATAGAATAACTGAATTGGAAGGGGCTTATAAGGCGATTGAGTCCAATTCCCTGATCAATGCAAGAATCCAAATCAAAGCAGACCTGACAATTGGTTGTCCAATTGTTTCCTGAATGCCTCTAGCACTGGAGCACTCACCACCTCCCAACCCTTTGTTGTTATACTGGTCTAACAGTTAAGTTTTTCCTGATATTCAGCCTAAACCTGAAGCTTCCTCTAGCTTGAGCCCATTATTACATGTCTTGTATTCTGGGATGATCAAGAACAGATCCTGCTCCTCCTCTTCCAAGTATCGGAAAAGTGCTAACATATCTCCCCTCAGTCTTCTTTTCTCAAGGCTAAACATATCCAGTTCTTTCAGTCTTTCCTCATATGGCTTGGTTTCCAGTCCCCTGAGCCTCCTTGCTGCTCTCCTCTGAATGTGCTCTAGTTTGTTGGCATCCTTCTTACAGGGCACTGTCCAGAAGTGGACACAGTACTCTAGATGAAGTCTAACCAATGCTGAATAGAGGAGATATACAGCAATTCCAAGATCCTTCTTCCTCAAAGTATTACTAAGCCAAGTATTCCTCATCTTGTAACTGTGTTCTTGGGTTTATCACCCCAAGTCTAAAACTTTGTACTTCTCCCCATTACATTTCTGGTTGTTTTCAGCCCAGTGCTTAAGCCTATCAAGATCTTTTTGAATTTTGTTCCTATCTTCCAAGATATTAGCTATTCCATCCAGTTTTGTATCATCTGCAAATTTGGTAAATATTCCGTTTACTCTGTCATCCAAGTAATTATTAATGATGTTGAAGGGCCCAAGACTGAGCTTTATGGTACCCTACTTGTTATCTCCTTCCAGTTTGAGAAGGAGCACTCTCAGAGCAAAGTTCTCTAACCAACTGTTTATCCATCTGACATTCCTCTCAGAGCAAAGTTCTCTAACCAACTGTGTATCCATCTGACATTTTATCCAGCCCACACCTAGTTGGTTGGCTAATCAGAGTATCATGGGGCAATGAGTTGACAACAGTGGGCTAGATGGACCAAGGATCTAACTCACTGTAAGGGCAAGTGGGTGAAGTCTATTTTTTAAAGCAAAAAATAAGCTTGGGTGTGGAGAGTTGACCCCTCTGCTGGCTGCCACTATGTTCTATTGTTTCAGGACTTTCTCTCCCAGCACCCTGTACAATGGATTTGGGCTGGACAGTCATACCTGAAGCAATATGGAGTGGCAGAGGGAAAGCTTCTGTTCCCCACTTCTCAGCATCTGTTATAAAAAGGCAGACTTTTCCATACTTCGTACATGATCTTCATTAATTGTGGAAATTGTTTCCCAGGCTGACTTTCTTACCTTCAAATAGCTGGTTAAAAATTATAATCTCCCATAAAGCTTCTAGTGATTAATTCTGTTCTGTTACTTCAGATATTATCCCTGTTTCTTGCTTAACATAACCCCCTTTAAAAAAAAAATGGATGGACCTGTTGCATTTTATTATGCTTAATTTTATTCTACATCACCTTAAGCACTACTTGAACAGAAGAACAATTCAAAAATGATTTAAACAAAAGAAATTAAATGAGTCTGTAAATAAAAAATGTGCTCATATTAATCAATTTTGACTCTTAGGAAAATGAAGGGCTACCATTTCAGACTGAAGACAAAGATTCATGTGACTGAATGGTCCATACCAACTCACACTTTCAGTCTTCCAAACAGACAAAAAAATGGCAATTGTTTACTTCTTTGACATCTAGTTTTTTATGAAGATTTGGGGTGTTTGGATATTTTCAATAGATATTTTCTCAGTTTGTCTTTTTTAAACAGCAACAGAGATACAGTACTTTGGATGTAAGGTAGTATATGAGATCCAACTCATTGGCCAAAAGCCAGTTGTTAATCCCAACTAGGACAGGCCTACTGAATCAATGGAAAGTTGGTTAAATCAACACTTACATAAATTCTGTTCAGTCACTGATTTTACTCTAGTTGGAATTAATTGGACTTAGGCCAGTTTCAAGGTACAGTATCTGTTCCTAGGCTTCAGTAACAAACTAGTGGGCCACTCACATAATTCAAAGGGGAAACCCAAGATTTTAATGGAGTTATGGATTCAACTGCAAGCACCCCCAAACAAAAAGTAAGAGCAAAGAGAAAGTTCTCTTTCCCACACTGGCCTTTTAAAATTTGGTGGGAGCTGGGCTGAAGGTGACAGTGTTTTTAAAATCCTGCACAACACTCCACTCATTATGTCTCCACTGCACATTAGAGGACTATGTTAGAAGAAAAGTTACAGGTGACATCTTAGTGATGCAAACCACTGTTAATAACGCGTGTCAAATAGGCAAAAGGCTCATTTAAAATTCCAACCCCAAATCCCACCACATAAAATGCCTCTGGTGTTGCAGCAAAAGTCAGCTTATTTTCTCAGCCCTTCTTCCAGGGTAAACTTGGCACCCAAGTTGGAAGCCACACTTTCCACTGACTTACTAAAGAATGGTTCAAAAACTACAAAACAAATTATTTTTCCAACAAAGGAAGGTTTCCGTTTCAAAGAGCGGAACCTGTTTTCCACTCCAATTTTTCTGTAACTGTCGGTTATTGGGGGAGAGAGAGGGCTACTCATTCACAGATGTAGTGAAACACTGGATTCGCTCCTGATTCCTAGAGGAAGTATTCATTTCCACCGGAGAGGTGAAAAGTCAAAATAAACAGTAGAAGTGAGGCTCTACTGCAGTATTCTTATAATTCAGCGTTTAACACCTCTCCATTAAGAGGACCTTAACGACAATAAATGTACAAGACAAGAAGAAAAAAAATACACGCATCCAGCTCCTTTTTTAGGCAAGGCGGCTCCAGAAGCCCCGGGCGCTGCCAGGCGAGAATAAACCCGGGGAAGCATTCGAGCCCTTCTACACATGCATGCCGATCCGCCCAGGATTCTGCACCCCGATCCCGGAGAAGTATCCCCAAGCTCACGTACCCGTGTAGCCTAAAGGGGCGACAAGCCTTCTCACATGCTTCCTCTTGGCGGAAGCCGCCATCTTCGCATTCCCCGGAGGAAGTTGCGTCATCACTTCCGCCAACCTTTTGTTTGCCGCAAGGGCTGTTGGGCCCGGTAGTTTCCTCGCGCGAAAGGAAGAGGCGGGCATCTCGTGCTCATGATTTCTCCCTGAAAGAAAGGCCTGCTTTTCTCTTCTGTCAGAACATCCTTTTTGCCGCCAGGGGCTTCCTGCGAGCGATCCTATGTATGTTTATTCGGCCTTTTTTTTCTTGACGGCATTCTGTGAGACTTACTCCCAGGTGAGCACTGGTAGGACTGCCTGCCTGCTTGCGGGTGGAAAAGGGTGCCCTTGAGATCTGTGGTGATGTCTCGGTGGGACGCAAGATTTCTGATTTCTTCATTAAAAAAAAATAAAAATCAGCAACCGTCGTTCTCCCCCAGACCTTATGCACGCGTGGCATGCCTTTTCCTGCAATAGACTCCACTGGCAGCACTTGTACTTCTTGGCACGTTACTTGTATACTGTACAGAGTTTTCCTAACCCCTTCCCGGCCTACCAATTTGGCGTTAATGGTACAAATAACAGAATGGTTGAGAATATATTTCCAAGTTAAAAAGTGTTTTTTTTAAAAAATCCTATCATTGTAAAGCTCCAGTTCTTTTGATAAGAGTAATCAGTGAGATAGGAAAGACGGAAGATTAACAAAACGGTTGGAAAAGGAAGAGATTTTGTTTTCTGACTGGAAGTGAGGTGCCACTCCGGTGAACTCGGACAAAACTAATTGTGTGTTTTGTTCTGATTATTAGGGGAATAGTGAATGTTGAGCAAGGATGAAAACCCTTTTCAAAATCTGTGTTCTCAAATTATCATGGAAATTATAGGTATACATTTGGAAATGTCTCCAGCGATAGCTTTGCTAAATATTTTTGGAAATGTACTGAGGAAAAAGTTAATTACTATTATAGTAACAACTGTAAGATGAATTATTGCAAAAAAAGGGGAAAATAAATTATTTGGAAGAATAGTATAAAGAAATGTGGATTTTAGCTGTTAATAATAACATGTGAAGGGAAAATTTTAAAAACGGATTATTAAAGGATGTTTGGGGTGTATTTATAGAGCATGTTTTTGTAAAAGGAAAAGTGAAAAATTCAGCCCAAGACTCACTATTTGGAGAGAACTGGGGTATGTTGATTAGAAAGGAAGGAAGAACAGAGGAAAAAGGTAATAATTGACAAGTTAATATTCCAGTAGTGATGGGGAGCACGGGTTGTATTATAGAGTGGGTATTTTTGTGGGGGTTTTGTACATTATTGTATTAAGTGCAATTTTTGTATGTATACAATTAATTCTTCAGTTAAATTATTTTAAAGTTAAAACAGAATCAGTGAAGCACTTCGTCTTAATTCATGCACAAAGCATTTTCTGCTTTTATAGAATTGACTAAATAACATGATACATTGGTGAAAATGCCCTTTAAGTATAAGCATGGATTTAGAAATCTGGTCAGACACAACAGAAATTGACCACTCCAGGATAGAATTAAACAGTAGTGTATATTCATATACCTGTCTTATGTGTATATGGGCAAAAATTACGTATTCTTTTGTAACTTGCCAAGTATCTCCTACACCCCTTTCCTGGTTGTAAAGCAAATGCCAGCTTGAAATCTTATCTTTAACATGCACAGAACATACATAAGGGCATCCAAACATGCCAGCATCAATCGGCTGCTTTAAACTGATTTCATCCTAACAGTTGGTCCAAATAAAAGCTCTTTAAAGTGAAAAAGTAATAAACTTATTGGTTTCCTTCCACTGTTAAAAGGAGAAGAGCAGACTGGTATCTGTATAACAAATGTTTATTCAGAAACATAATACATAGTGTCCTTCAGCCCCAATCTCTCCCTCTGTAGTCCACCACTGTTGCTAATTAAACATTGGTACAGGGAATAGCAGTTCTGCACACACAAAAATCTGGCATTTACAAACACACCTTCCCCAGTACAGGTGACATTTAATTCAAAAGCAGTAATCCAGATTAGCAAACCACATTGGGAACATAACTCCATGTAACATAACTCGTGTCTTTGCTAGATTAAACTAAGAAACTGTACAGAACAAAGAGTACAAGGAAAGTCGAACCAACTGAGTAGATTCTATAATGGAAATAAGCAGATATTTTTACACTACGGGATCTTAGCACAGATGAAGAGAAATGCTTAAAATCTTTTAGTTGGAAGGTCAAAAATCCAATTCCCCAACCAGAGTCTGGAGATTGTTTCTGTGTTTTGATTTAATATAAAATGAAAATTAATTAAAATATCAGATTTTTATTTTACAGAATTAATATGATGTTATCTAACAGAGTGCATCTTTATCTCCCAAACATTCCATCTGGACATGAAGTGCATCTTCTTTGCTTTGCTACTTGGAAAGTCCTTTCATTTCCCACTTTTTTCACTCTTCTATTTCAGATTGGTGGGTAGATGGTCCTCCTGGTCAACAAGGTGCACTTTCCACTTTTTAGTACACACAAATCAGCACTAATGCCGCATAGCAAAAGAAGACTCTTACTCAAGCAGTTAATACAACTGATAACCCCTTGAGAGTTGACAGTAAGAATTGTTTCCTGCCTACGATATACGATTGAGCCAACTTCCAGCTAAAATAATATTGTATCAAATGACAATTGTGACAAGCTGTACTGAACTAGTTCCAAAAGACCTATAGATGGCATTCACTGTGGTGTCACTTACCTCCCAACTAGAGGTATGTAGGTTTGTATACCTATTTGGATTACAGCTCCCAGAATTCCCCAGGCCATTAATTCAGGGAGTAGTATCCAAAAACACAAACCTGCAGCATAACACCTAAAAGTGTGATTTTGGGATGATAAGGACCTTTACTCATTTTCAGTGGTTGTGAAATATCATGCAAGAGAGGTGGCTCTTTCTTCTTCCTATAAAACAGAACCAAAAGCACTTTTCTCCCAGATATACTAATCCACAATAAGAGGCTAGAGAGAAGGTAATATCTGACGCAAGAAAGTGAAGAAAAACATTTTACAGCTGTCCAAAACAAAGCAGATGTTTTATTATGGAAAAAGTATCCATGAGACTTGTTGGACTGAAGGTTCACAACAATGCCAGGTTTCTCTCAGGGCATTGGCAAACTACCATGACAATGGAAGATGAGTAAAAAGTACAGGACACATTGCATTCTTGTACTTTTACATCCTTCTGCTGCTTTCAAGTGTTTCTGTCAGCTCCTGCATGAGCAGAACATTTGTGCTTGTCTCTCTCTAATGTTTGAACTGCAGGAGAGTGCCATGAGATATGCAGCCTTAGCCCCAGATGTAGTTGCATAAAAATGAAATGTAATTTATCACTAAGTAAAAAAGATTTCTTTTTTCAAAGGATGCAAGCTCGAAGAGATGCCTACCACAATCTTTGTTAGGTGCATTTTTTTTGGATGGATACTGCAAAGGGGTTGAGAGGGTGGGAAAAAAAAATAAAGGAATTACATGGTGTAAGCTTGATGACATATTCTTACTGGAGAAAGGGAAGATTATTCTTTAGAAATATGTGGACAAAACTCCAGCTATGAAAACAGAACATACACATTAGGGAGAACACTACTGTACAGGAAGGTAGCAATTATATAAAAAAACAAAAAAACCCAAAACGAAAGATTTCAGCATGGGCAACAGAACAGTTGCACCCCTGCACCTATCCATTTCACACGCTCAACTAATTTTCCAGTCCACTCCTCGCCTTTTACTGCTCAAAGTTTGATTTTGAACTCTGTAGGCTGCACTGAAGCAGAGGTCCCCGAGGATTTGAACAGGGCCTTCAAAATGATATCAGGATCCACTTCAGGTGGTGGATTTGAGGAGGCTCCTGCACTTGTCCGACGTGATTCACCTTCCTTCTTCACTGATGGAGTGTCACTCAATCGACTACGAAGAACAACAGGAATTAACTTCACTACAGAAACATACTGAAATAAGCATAATAATTTATTATTTTTGACTATTTCCAGTTGTGTACTTGAAAGCTAGTTTACACTAAGACAACTCTCAAGATTTAATTTTTTTAAGATGAATTATGCTCTGGAGAAGAAAGGGGTAAATTATGGAGGGAACTTTAGGAAGCTCTGCTGCCTACATATACTAAACTGTGAAACTGAGATTGAGTCACACAGTGAACCAAATAAATTCTTCAAATCATCACACTGATAATTTGAGAGAAGACTGCTGCCCTGTTCAGTAAAAATGCAGCTACTGCATGCAGTTGAAAATCTTTGTGGTATTGCTGCCATTTTTCTCATTTGCATAGAAAAAAACAAACAAGATATATAGGGAAATGTAATTAAAATAAAATGTAATCCCCTATTCATTAACTCCCATTTGATATCTGGCTAGAGTACAAGATTTCTTTCTATAGTGTCCTGCTGCAGATCCATATGCAATTTTTTGTACAAACAAGCTCATGGGTACTTACAGCAATATAGGTTGGTCTGAAGTGATAACACTTCTATTCATATGAAGATTGCATTTCATTGGCTGCCCTGGTGGAGAAGAACAAAGGAAACTAAGCATTATAATCTATAAAAATATAATAATATACTAATATGTTACGCAGTAAGATAACACACCTATATTTTACCATCCTAAAGACATTTGATAGACATTCCTCTGGAAGCCAAATCTACTCCCAGTAGCAAAAAAGCCATAAGCAAAGATCAGTTGTCAAATAAATCAGAAGGGGGCACAGCAGGATGGTCAAGGACCACACCATACTCACTGTCTGAATCATCTACTTTTAAGAGTGCCCTCCTTTCAATAACAGAAGGCAAAGCATCAAGTAAAACATTAACAAAAATTCTGCACAAATTACAGGTTACATTTGGAAAGTATCCATTATACAAACACATCAGATCTGTGCACTAAAAACCTAACAAAATAGGAATATGACGTCATGTGAAAAAGAAAAAACCCCCTCTTTGAATTCTAAAGTTCTACGTAACAAGAAATAATAAAAAATAACGTGGTTCTTAGCAGATCTGAAAATTAGGTAAACATAATCTCAGATGAACAACATATGATATATTACACCGTGTCATGATTTATTTTACAAAAATAAAGCCAAAAGGGAGAAGCCACCATTCTTGGCCATAATGTACAGCACATCTGGTGAAAACCAAACCATTTCCACTTTGGTCTTCTCTGTCCAAAGGACATTGTTCCAGAAGTCTTATGATTTGTCCAGATGCAACTTTGCAAAGCTAAGCCATACTGCCATATTCTTTTTAAAGAGAAGAGGCTTTATCCCGGAAACCCTTCCAAACAAACCATACTCATTCAGTCTTTTTCTAGTTGTACTGCCATGATCTTTAACATTTAACATGCTAACTGAAGCCTGTAGACTCTGAACAGGAAGGTAGCAATTATATAAAAAAACAAAAAAACCCAAAACGAAAGATTTCAGCATGGGCAACAGAACAGTTGCACCCCTGCACCTATCCATTTCACACGCTCAACTAATTTTCCAGTCCACTCCTCGCCTTTTACTGCTCAAAGTTTGATTTTGAACTCTGTAGGCTGCACTGAAGCAGAGGTCCCCGAGGATTTGAACAGGGCCTTCAAAATGATATCAGGATCCACTTCAGGTGGTGGATTTGAGGAGGCTCCTGCACTTGTCCGACGTGATTCACCTTCCTTCTTCACTGATGGAGTGTCACTCAATCGACTACGAAGAACAACAGGAATTAACTTCACTACAGAAACATACTGAAATAAGCATAATAATTTATTATTTTTGACTATTTCCAGTTGTGTACTTGAAAGCTAGTTTACACTAAGACAACTCTCAAGATTTAATTTTTTTAAGATGAATTATGCTCTGGAGAAGAAAGGGGTAAATTATGGAGGGAACTTTAGGAAGTTCTGCTGCCTACATATACTAAACTGTGAAACAGATTAAGTCACACAGTGAACCAAATAAATTCTTCAGATCATCACACTGATAATTTGAGAGAAGACTGCTGCCCTGTTCAGTAAAAATGCAGCTACTGCATGCAGTTGAAAATCTTTGTGGTATTGCTGCCATTTTTCTCATTTGCATAGAAAAAAACAAGTAAACAAGATATATAGGGAAATGTAATTAAAATAAAATGTAATCCCCTATTCATTAACTCCCATTTGATATCTGGCTAGAGTACAAGATTTCTTTCTATAGTGTCCTGCTGCAGATCCATATGCAATTTTTTGTACAAACAAGCTCATGGGTACTTACAGCAATATAGGTTGGTCTGAAGTGATAACACTTCCATTCATATGAAGATTGCATTTCATTGGCTGCCCTGGTGGAGAAGAACAAAGGAAACTAAGCATTATAATCTATAAAAATATAATAATATACTAATATGTTACGCAGTAAGATAACACACCTATATTTTACCATCCTAAAGACATTTGATAGACATTCCTCTGGAAGCCAAATCTACTCCCAGTAGCAAAAAAGCCATAAGCAAAGATCAGTTGTCAAATAAATCAGAAGGGGGCACAGCAGGATGGTCAAGGACCACACCATACTCACTGTCTGAATCATCTACTTTTAAGAGTGCCCTCCTTTCAATAACAGAAGGCAAAGCATCAAGTAAAACATTAACAAAAATTCTGCAGAAATTACAGGTTACATTTGGAAAGTATCCATTATACAAACACATCAGATCTGTGCACTAAAAACCTAACAAAATAGGAATCAGTCTGAACATACAGTCATGTGAAAAAGAAAATACACCCTCTTTGAATTCTACAGTTCTACATAACAAGATGTAATAAAAATCACATGGTTCTTCGCAGATCTGAAAATTACGGTAGGTAAACATAACCGCAGATGAACAACATATGACATATTACACCATGTCATGATTTATTTTACAAAAATAAAGCCAAAAGGGAGAACCCACCATTATTGGCCATAATGTACAGCACGTCTGGTGAAAACCAAGCCATCTCCACTTTGGTCTTCTCTGTCCAAAGGACATTGTTCCAGAAGTCTTATGATTTGTCCAGATGCAACTTTGCAAAGCTAAGCCATACTGCCATATTCTTTTTAAAGAGAAGAGGCTTTATCCCGGAAACCCTTCCAAACAAACCATACTCATTCAGTCTTTTTCTAGTTGTACTGCCATGATCTTTAACATTTAACATGCTAACTGAAGCCTGTAGACTCTGAAATGTAACTCTTGTTTTTGTTTTTGCAATTTTTCTGAGCATTGCATGGTCTGATCTTGGTGTGAATTTGTTTGGATGTCCACTCCTGGGAAGATTGGCAACTGTCTTGAATGTTTTCCACTTGTGGATAATATTCCACACTGTAGAATGATGAACTTTAAATTGTTTGGAAATGGTCTTATAACCCTTCCCAGATTGATGGGCAGCAACAATTGCTTCTCTATGATCATTGCTGATGCATTTCCTCCTTTGTACTGTGTTACACACACACCTGAATGCTCCTGAGCATAAAACTGCTAAAACATTGACTTTCATAAAGATGGTCACACTTGCTGATGATCAATTACTCAAAGGCAGCACCTAGTTGTTACTTAGCCTCTTGATTTCTGTGGAAGTAGTAAGGGTGTACTTAGTTTTTCACATATGGCTTCTCCATTTTGGCTTAATTTTCGATAAATAAATCATGACACAGTATAATATGTCATGTGTTGTTGTTCATCTGACGTTGCATTTACCTAATTTTCAGACCTGCTAAGGAGCAGATAATTTTTTATTATGTCCTGATAGGTAAAACCATAGGATTCAAAGAGGACACACTTTCTTTTTCACATGACTGTATGTTTCCTTGGAAATATTTACAAAATTGTCTATTTGCCTGATATAATAAGTACTCATGCATATATATGCATACCTAGAAAACATGAAACTTAAACAGGCACCATAACCATGAAATTTGTTAGTAGCCTAAAAAAATAAAGATACCACAGAATATGGCCAAGTGACTGATTCTGGCTAGAAAAAAAAAATCAATTTAACTTCAGGAGCAGCTATTACCACTTTAATCTGAATACTAAGATAGGTATTAAGGGGCGTGGTGGTGCTGCGGTTTAAAACGCAGAAGTCCCTGTGCTGCAAGGTCAGAAGACCAGCAGTCATAAGATCGAATCCACACGATGGAGTGAGCTCCTGTCGCTTGTCCCAGCTCCTGCAAACCCAGCAGTTAGAAAGCATGTAAAAATGCAAGTAAATATATAGGGACCGCCACAGTGGGAAGGAAATGGCGTTCCGTGTCTAGTCGTGCTGGCCACGTGACCACGGAAACTGTCTTTGGACAAACGCTGGCTTTACAACTTGGAAACGGGGATGAGCACCGCGCCCTAGAGTTGGACAGGACTGGACAATTTGTCAAGGGGAACCTTTACCTTTATAGGTATTATTTAAAACCAAATCTGCCCCAAATTAGAGGGAGGTAGGGGACACCAACTTTAATAAGAATGAAGGACTGTGTGGACACAGTGCAATAAACCTCTTGCATTGTACCTCTCTCCAAACTGCCCCCAAATCATTTTTCCCTCACTGAAGCTATGACCTTACTGAAGGAGAGGAATGTCAGGAAGAGAATATTTTACACTGTGCAATCCTTTTGCCCCTCTATTCTGAAAGCACCTTTTATAGATGGTGGCATCCCCCCCCCTCAATAATTACACAGATTCCAAAATACAGTACAAATTTTTCTGCCAGTTGTCAGTGATATTCATTCTCAAGTGCTGTCTATATAGCTACTAGCATAAGACATATTTTCATCTATGTGCCTGCATGGCTGCCGTCCCTTCACACAGGTGCAGTTTTGTGGCTATATGCCAAACCCTGCTATAGTAAACGGTTCCCAGGAATGACTCTCATCCTACCAAAGCTGTAATGAATACTGGTATCTGCATACAGAGGACACACTGGCAGTATGATCTGAGATTGGCAGTGACACAAGCAAACAATAAATCATCTTTCTCACTTACCATCGAGGCATCTGTTGTTGTATTTCTTATATGCGGTGATAGCATCTTCCTTCTTCACAAATACCACTTCAGCCATTCCAGGATGTACTAGACGGGCTCGCTTCAGGGCACCACAAACACAGAATAACTCCTAAGCAAATAGCAAAGTTTGGTAGTTTTTATTATGGAGCTGTATTCAATTTAAATGCTCATTTTAAAAAGCATCTGTGTCTACTATTTTACCTCTCAGAGAGATCCATCCATGTTTCAGTGTGGGGTACAGCTTAGCCTAACTAAGAGGGGCATGTTAGCCCCCTATACATATTCTTCATGTATATGGCTCTTTTGTTGTTTTTGCAGACAGAAGAAGAAGAAAAGTGGAAAGAGGTTTAACAAAGGGGCCATACATCTGGCACCTCTAGCCTCACCAGTGGGTATCAGGATACCCTTCAGCCACTGCAGAAAGAATATCACTGTACACCCAAAATGCTCCTGACTAGAGATGGGCATAAATTAAAACATGGATCACCAAATTTATTCAAAAAATCACTAATTTATCAATCCGTATTTGTACAAAACAATGCCCCAAAAGAATATGAATCAACAAATTTTAACTATTTTTGTTTGTTGATTAATTTAGCTATAAAATGCCTCCCCAGGCATATACAGCCACCAAAATTGCAGGGAACCTTCCTCTGACTCTCCACTACAATCCCTCCAAGTTTGGGTTTCAGATGTTCAAGATATATAACCAGATATAACCAGCCCTTACACACAAGTAGACCCTCACCTTTACAAGCCTTACTCATGAGCAGACCCACACCAGAGAGCGCACCGGCTTCTCACGCCCCGCGGCGATCTGCAGCCACCTCCCACCTCCTTCCTTCTGCGCTGCAGAAGTAAAAAACTTCCCTGACCCCCTGCTCTAACCGTTGGGGCGAAAGAGCTACAAACAAGCAGCCTCTTTGCCACCAACGGTCTGAATTTCCTGCCTTTCCCCCCTGCCTATTTCTGTTCTTACATCAAAGCTCCGCTTGCAAGTCAAAGCAAAATTCTGCGAGCAAAACTGTTCGTAAGTCGAAATGTTCATAGGTAGGGACGTTCGTAACTCGAGGCACCAATGTACTTAGTTTCATACTATTGCCAGAAAAAGATTCTCTAAGCCCTCTAGACGAAGACAGGCATTCAGGTTGGCTCCAGATCTCAGAGATACGTTACTCACAACAATGTCCTCTTCTGTAACTCTAGGATGCAAATTGTTCACAGTCATCTTAGTACCTTCCAAAGGGCTGAAGACAGGCTACAAAAGAAAAGACAGTTTGTTGGAGTGGGTATGACAAACAAGGACATAAAAATTCTCCAAAGCAGTGAAATTCAGCAAAACCCAGCTCTCAGAATTAAATTGTCAATGCCTCAAAAGATCCTATTTCATCTTTTAGAATGCTATTTCATCTATTAAAGACAACGAAGTTCTACCCAGAAAATGTGAACCAAAATAGATCTTGAACCACAGGAAGTTTTCCAAGTAGATCAAGTTCCGTACATTGAGTTGAGAGGACATAACAAGATATATAGATGGATTTGAATAAGAGTTAGTATACAAAATCATATACAAAATATTTTTTGTGTTCTTGACTCACCTCAACTGGTGCAGGTTCTTTAGGGGGTTCTTCCTTGGTCACCAAGGTTCGAGACACATTTGTTAGGGCCTTTGTCTGAATGGGGGAAGGTGGAGCTGGCGGGGCTGTATAAGCATCATTCTGGACCACTTTTGTGAGGGGAACGGTCTTTGACAGAGAGAACTTGTTGCCACTAAGTCCAGCCTATGTAAACAGAGAACATAAACTGCTGAATGTTAGGAGTGACAAAACAAGGCCATTTTTTCCTTTTAAAAGTAGTAGTCAATTAGTACAATTTCCCATTCCACAAGTCTTGTAGAAAAGACTTGCAGCCATTCAACTTCTAATTGTTGAGGTCTACTTATTGCATATCAGGGAAGTGGTGGTGCTGCGGGTTAAACCACAGAAGCCTCTGTGCTGCAGGGTCAGAAGACCAAGCAGTCATAAGATCGAATCCACGCGACGGGGTGAGCTCCCGTCGCTTGTCCCAGCTCCTCACCAACCTAGCAGTTCAAAAGCATGTAAATGTGAGTAGATAGATAAGTACCACCTCGGTGGGAAGGTAACAGCGTTCCGTGTCTAGTTGCGCTGGCCATGTGACCACGGAAACTGTCTTCGGACAAACGCTGGCTCTATGGCTTGGAAACAGGGATGGGCACGACTGGACTAAATGTCAAGGGGAACCTTTACCTTACTTAATGCATTCCACTGTGCATTCAAAGGTTCCCTTTGGAAATGCTATTTGGCCCAGAAGTAACTGCGTTTTAAAATATTCCACAATCAACATTTCACACAGATGGAATATTCTATTAACAAGCTCTAACCAAGTTAGAATGAAAGAGAACTTTCTTCTTTAGAACTATCACAGTATCAGTAAGATAAGTGGGGAACCTTCAACAGATCCTGCTTGATAACTCTGGAGTATCAAGATGTAAGGTTAGATCCAGACTGGATATGCTTAGAACAGATGTACTGTACTGACACCAATAGAACAAGTCAGTCATGGCTCACTTGAATTCCACCATTTCTGCCCAAAGCATGTCAAAATCTCATACAGCCTATTGTTCAAAGGAGTCATTACTGTGCTCCAGGTGTGAAAACCAAATGTACCATCCATGAGGTAGGAGGGTGGCATTAAGCAGTGATGGGACTGCACAAAAAATAAAAAATTAAAGCAGCAATTAAGACAAACAATGCAGCTGTAGCAGCACAATTAAAATATTTCTGAGGAAATTAAAAACTTATACACCTCAAATTTTGGTTAGGGGGCAAGAATAGACAGAGGAACTGGAAAAGCAATGAAAGGCAATATGACTTAATTTATATTTGAAACAGAAACCAACAACAAAGAACAGACAGCTCTAGCAAGTTAAGTCTACAGCAAGAGAAAAAGAAAACAAATTTATTGTTCAAAATAGAGGATAAACTAAATAATAATAATAATAATAATTTATTACGATCAATTACCGAAAAGCAATGAAAGGCAATATGACTTAATTTATATTTGAAACAGAAACCAACAACAAAGAACAGACAGCTCTAGCAAGTTAAGTCTACAGCAAGAGAATAAGAAAACACATTTATTGTTCAAAATAAAGAATAAATTACAAAAAATAAAAAATTAAAGCAGCAATTAAGACAAACAATGCAGCCGTACCAGCACAATTAAAATATTTCTGAGGAAATTAAAAACTTATACACCTCAAATTTTGGTTAGGGGGCAAGAATAGACAGAGGAACTGGAAAAGCAATGAAAGGCAATATGACTTCATTTATATTTGAAACAGAAACCAACAACAAAGAACAGACAGCTCTAGCAAGTTAAGTCTACAGCAAGAGAAAAAGAAAACAAATTTATTGTTCAAAATAGAGGATAAACTAAATAATAATAATAATAATAATTTATTACGATCAATTACCAGATAAGAATACATTATTTAGATAAAATCACATAATATCAGAGATATTGGTCAAGACATGTCACCATCAATGCACTGTCTGGCTCTTTTACAACACTGAAGTGTATAAAATGTTCTAAGTTAGACAGCAGCATTGAAGGATATAAAAGCTTTTAAAACATCACAACAGTAACATGATATAAGATTAAATTAAGAGACACATAAAACCATCAATACGCCACCTCAACTCTCCTAGAAAATACTGTATTTTTCGCACCATAAGACGCACTTTTTTCCCATAAAACAGGGGGGGTGGAAAGTCTGTGCATCTTATGGAGCGAAGAAAACAGATTATAGTTTCCTGTTTTCCTCTCCTAAAAAATTGGTGCGTCTTATGGAAAGGTGCGTCTTATGGAGCGAAAAATACGGTAAGTTAAACAAGAAATCTCTAACAAGGACAAGAGCACTTGAAAACCTTATGTTGCCAGGAGACTGTGGCAAGCTATTGCGGCAGCGCAGTATTTGGCCACTTTACTAGTAATATAAGAAACCTTATCAGAGACCAGCAAAAGAATATAACATTCATTGGATTCCCCTGGAAATTTTTGAAAAATAGAGAAGAGCCTTACAGAAATCTCAATAGAAATGACAGTATAAGAGAACTGCCCCATTGTTTCTACTTCACCACCACTGCAAAGACATAAACAATCAGAATAGGGTACGCCCTGAAATCTCTGTTCCAAGAGATTAGAAGAGCACACATTAAATCTGGCTAAGGTAAAAATTGAACAACGTAGGAGCTAAAATGCAACCCTGTTTCACTCCACTGAATGATGGAATTAATTTGGACAGGCTTGACTGCATAGGACCCGTAGGCGAGTATTTTCATACAAATGCCGCATTAGCAAAAGGAGTTAGTGGCCTGAAATTTGGTCCAGAGTTTATCTCTCAGGATGAGGTTGAATGTACACTTGAAATCAATGAAAGCTGAAAACAAAACTATCTTCTTGTTCCATGGGGGAAAGGGAAACCAGTCAAGAAATCAAAGGGCCACTAAAACAGCATTTGTCCTTTAGGACGAAGCTGATCCTTTTTAGGCGAGAGGCTTGTAGGCAGGAATGGATGCAGGATTTTTGGATAACACCACATTTGAATAAGGTTAGAACCAGTATGTATATCCAATGTGAGCACATATGGGCATTTCTGTTTACACGTCCATCATGAACACAGAAGGGAAGACCACTATATGACAGACACTTACCGCACTATGCAGAAAGCTGTTTCTGGTGGTAATTTTCATCTGTTTGTTAGGAAGGGAAATCACAGGCTCATCATCATCTTCCTCGTCATACAGGCACTAAAGACAGAAAAACAGATAAATGACTTACAAATGTCATGTGGCTAATTTTCGACTACTAGTTGGGGATGTGCCATTTGTTTTTTTTTTGGACTCCAAATCCAAGAATCTGTTAACAAAACTCTGAGAGTTCCACACCTACGCTTTGCTCATCTGGATCGGGGCCTAGTTCTGAGGCAGCATGGCCTACCTCTGGTCTTGGTTCCTCTTGTTAATGTAAAAAAAAAAAAAAGACATTACCATCATGGTTCCTGGAAGTGGCAGTCTTGCTGCCCTTTAAACTTCATAGAGAGTGGCTCCTGAAGAAGTGCCATCCCACAGCAGCTTCCTTTGTTGTACATTAATAACAGGAATGAAGGCTAGAACTAGGTCATACAGCCTTGGGGCTAGGCCCTGGTCCAAGTGACCAAAATGTTTGGTGTCTGTAGGTATGGGTTTGTGGACTAAAACACCCAGAATTCTGCCTAGGCAAGTCTTGGGAGAATTCTGGGAGTCCAAAAACTTGAAATGGCCCATCCCTGTATAACATGGCTATTCTAAGACAAGTTGTGGATCTCATGTATATTAGTCCGTATCCCTCAAGAAACCTCAGCATTCCTCAGCCAAATAATGTATTCAGGAACTTATGACATCTTAGTTTGCTGCTACTGTTGTTATGTGCCATACAGTCACCCCTCATGGTAATGTGCAGACAGGCACCTGTAGCTTATTTGAATGACATGGGTGCTGTATATCTGTGAAGATTCTCAGTCATCCAGGTGAAGTTATCTGGAAGTTGCATCATGGCAACTGGACTTCCTTTTAATTACAGTGGGGTCTTGACTTAAGAACGGCTTGAGTTAAGAACATTTTGACTTAAGAACCACTCTCATAGGAAAATATTGACTTGACTTACGTACTTAGATTTGAGTTAAGAACTGAAAAAAACCACGTGGGAGGCAGGGAAAGTGCAAAATTTGAACTTTCAGTTAACTGTTGGCCAGTGAAAAGGGTGCCTGTCTGCTTCCTCACTCCTCCCAGCGTTTAGAGAGTGGATTGGGAGACAGTCTTCGGACTGCCTGGTACTGTTCTGCCTGGACTGTATTTTCCCTGCCTTCCCTGAACCTTTCTTGACCTAAGAAAAAAAGAAACAAAATATCCCCCTCTAGTGGTCGAAGGCGGAATAGCAGCTTCCCATTAGTTTCTATGGACGGAAAAGAGCAGATGCGGATCAAATGGTTTTCAATGCATTCCTATGGGAAATGCAGATTTGACCTGCAAACTTTTTGACTTGAGAACCGCCTTCCAATACGGATTAAGTTCTCAAGTCAAGACCCCACTGTAGGTTGAAACGTTTCACTACTCATCCAAGTAGCTTCTTCAGACTGAGGAGAGTTGGTAGGAGAACCACTGATATATCCTCCACGTTGGTTTCACTTCAACCTAATAAGGAAGTAGTTCAGTTGCCATGTCTCAACTTTCAGATGATATGGATGCTGATGACACTCAGCCCATGGACTACGAGCATTTTAAAATACATGAAACCAATGAAGGTTCTAAGTCATTCCTTGTGCCAGTTGTTTAAAACACTGAAATCATGTTCAAAGATCACTCAAATTTGACAAAAACTGGGTGTCACTCATCCTACAACTGAAGAATACACACCTGTTTATTTGTGTGATTATTCACAATGTTGACCTTCATACCCGCAGGGTGAGTATGTGATGGAACTGCAGCCTTCTGCTGTGATGGTGAACAAAGGAAGAAGAACATATTATATGTGAGACTACACCAACTCCTGGTCTTAATTAATGGGAGTTTATAATAAATAATAGCAATTATTATTTAATTCTATTCATAACATATGTGACACTCATTTATATAACATATACTGAACTCCTGAGGTGTTAAACTGCTACTACTTGGAGTTTTTCCTGGAAGGAAAGATCCATCTTTTAATAAATTGATATGCAAAATAGTACAACACATAACTGCAACAGCTGTCTTCCACACAATATGTTCACTAGATAGATAGATAAAACTTTATTACAGTCAAAGACCACCAACACTTCACTATTTTAACCTTATTCTGGCATCCTAATTCTGTGCACAACAACTGCACAAGGAGACACATGCTAACCTCACCATCTATATTGTTTTCTATGCTTGGAACATGACTATCTGAAGATATTGTCCTCTATCCAGAGTAAGGATGGGAAAATATGGCTCTACAAATGCTAAACTACAATTATCTCCTTTACTATTATGTATGCTGGCTCAAGCAGACTGCAGTTGATGTGCACCAATATCTGCTCAGCTATGCCTTCTTCATCTCTGCCATGCAGTGATTTTGAGCACTGATTTGCCATGATTCAAAATCAGGCGCAGAAGCTCTCCCATTTATTAACTTGCCCTCTATATATACAAGGCAATGGAAACTGCAACAGAGAGGGGCTGGGCTAGCACGGCTTACACAACATAGGACTGTAAATCATGAAGTGGCCTACTGTGTATACAGGCAGCATTTACTACAGCTCCAATGTGGACTTTTCTATGGGAAATCGGTAAATATCTGCAACCTAATTTTGCAGTTCAGGTGAATTAATAATTGATAAATGATGCAATTAGTGAGAAAAAGTCTCCATTCATGCCAGTACTGAAAGACCATCGGAAGCCCCCAGGAGACCATACCACTCAGATGTAATCTGTTTATCTGATGATGCGGGCAACACATTTCATCATACAAAAAGATACACTCAAGAAGAAAAATTAGGATCTCAAGTAAAAGCTTGAGGACTCAGATGCCTCCTTTCTCATTTTTTGTTATAATTATATTATGTTTCTGCTTTCCATAATGGTTCCTTTAAAATATGTAATATCATCTTTTCAGTTCCTACTAGTCTATAAAATTATTACCGATGAAGAAGGAGGAACCATAGAGAGGACAATCATAACCTACTTGAATTGTTTTTGTGATTTTCACAGCAGGAGCCGCTGTTTCCCCAACAGTGTTCACAGCAGCTGCAGTCGGAGCACTCCTTTTCAAGCTAATCTTTTCTCTAGCATCAACAACTTTGGTCACCTTCTCGACACTTTGTTGCTTTCGGGAATTGAGCATCTCCCGGGCATCTTGTACTTTCCCTTTGATTTTGAACCTGGCATCTTTCTGAAGTAGTTTCTCTCGGGCATCTTTCACACCAATTTTGTGCCGGGCATCAGTAAGACCAATCTTTTGACGTGCATCAAATGTCCGCTGAAAACCAACACTTGGTGCTGGTCTGCTTAGGAAAGTTTGTGGGACTCCAATTCGAGATCTGATACCTCCAAATACAGGTCTGGTGTTTAGTCTGGAATGGAAATAGAATATCAACTGAGATATTTCATCATGTTGGAAACAACTGACCAATATAGCTCCAACTCACTCACAAGAAAAGAGAGGCTAAATGCCAGAACTGAAAAATCTAAGGTAGAGAGCAACACTGCCATCATCACACCAGAGCTGATGAGGAGAGACTAGGTGAAACATCAGGCAAGGAAACTTGCGGTTATTGCAAAAGCAACTGACACTACTAGTCTCTTTCTCCTTCTCACACTGTAAAATACAACAGGCCTGAAACACTGATAAAATTGTTTGCCTTTCCTGGCTTCCAAAATTCAGATTTTTACTAGAGATGGGTTATTTGTATTTGAATACAAATATCTCCACACAGGCGGTGTTAATGAGGGTCCAGCCCCATGGGGCCAGATGGTCCACTCAGCGATCTGCCGTGGATGCACAAAGTGCAATTCTACCAATGACGCCACAGTGTGCGATCTGCTCATCACTCTTCGACCTTGTAGCGAGACTTGTCCTCCTGGCAGGAATAGCGAGCAGATTGTGTGCTGCAGAGCCATTTGTAGAATTGCGCTGTCCGCAGCGGATTGTTGAGTGGACCATCCGGCCCCATGGGGCTGGACCCTTGTGAACACCACTTGTGCGGGGATATTTGTATTTGTTTTAAATCTGAGGCTTGAACAATTGTTTATCACTGTCATTGCAGAACCATTAGCCAGCTTTACAGCTGAGCAAGGTTACTATACTGTAACATTCCTGACAGTTGAACAAATTTTATAAATGATGACAAAAGACACAGGACTTACAATTTACACTCTTTGCAATTCCAACACCTTAGTGTTACAATATTCTGGTATTCCAAGACCCTGAATCAGATGATCTATGCTATAGGCCTTTATTCCTCTAGCCTTTGCAAAATTTTAGTCAAAACAATGACATTGCCATCATAGTGGCAGCTTGCCAGATTTTGAGTTATAAGCCTTTGGAATTTCTGCAGGTGCAACAGCAATAGAATTTCCTATAGTTTTTTTCCTTGGTGCTCCAGACCTATAGATCTCCAAGCCCTGCAGAAAGGATTGTTGATAGTTGATTAAAGAAAGATAAAGGTTTAGAAAATGGCCAGAAGAGATAGCCAGGGCAAGGAGCAAAGGATAGCAGGTTAACATCATTAGAGGGGAGAAAACTCTGCTGGGGGAGGGTAAGCTTTTCCCCAATATGCAAATTTTTTTGCTTAGGTTCTGATATAATCTATTAACTACATAGTCTGTGAAGATGTGACTTAATTGAGAGTTAATTTTTATAACTTAGAAAAATGCCTTTGTAATACCTTATTATTATTTGTAACATTTTAGAGTCTTATGTCATTCTTAAGCACCATATCAATTTTTGTTAAGCCATCTAAAAGTTTTGTTAGTTACTTATATTTTCCATTAGATCATTAAGTTTTCAGAGTTACATCCTTGTAACACTGTATAAAATTTTTATAGTTAAGATTTTTGGATATTCAATAGAGAATTCAAAAGATAAAAAACAATACAAGACATAGGTATCTGCTTGCATGTGCCTGTTCAATAAAATGAATAAAGTAGATTTTTTTGGACATTCAGTTTGTCTTGCATGGGGCAAAAAAAATTAAAGGATATTCATAAGAAGAGAGAACTGCACAAAATGCAAAATATTCATCTGGGTCATACTGGAATTAACCCTTTGGGGATAAGTGCCAGCTGTGACAAACATAGGCTTCTGATTTTTTTCCTGGAAGTCTATAAAGTTCTGTAGAATTCATAGAGATTACTTGACCTGAAAAGACAAGAAGACAGCATGCCTCATATATAAGACGCCTGCCCACCTGTGATTGCAGACATCTGTTGCTGATACTAAGGTATTGAAGATTCTGATTTAGTTATATTCAGAGTCAGTAGCTAAAAAACTTATCCTGGCATCTAGGTTATATGCTTCAGTCAAAGGAACAAGGGACAAATGCTTTAAAAATGGCTTACTCTTATAAACAAATTGGAAGTGCAAGTGGGGGGGGGATAGGATTGCAGCTGGAGATAAACAAAGAATACCTTACCACCTTGAACGAGTTCAAATGTGCAGGGCCAGATGAACTGCATCCGAGAGTACTGAAGGAACTGGCTGAAGGACTCTCAGAACCGCCATCCATTATTTTCTTGAAATCATGGGAAATGGGTGAGGTGCCAGATGATTGGAGAAGGGCTAATGTTGTCCCTATCTTCAAAGAGGGCAAAAAAGAAGAACCTGGGAAATACAGGCCAGTCAGCCTGAAATCAATCCCAGGCAAAATTCTGGAACAGATCGTAAAGCGGTCATTGTGCAAGCACCTCGAAAACTAGAAGCCAACACAGATTTGCCAAGAACAAATCCTGCCAAACTAAATTGATCTCGTTTTTTGATCAGGTTACCTCCCTGCTAGACAGCGGGAATGCTGTAGACGTAGTATATCTTGACTGCAACAAAGTTGCTGATTAGCAAGCTAACTAGGTGTGAGCTGGAGATATCAAGTGTCAGGTGGATACACAATTAGCTACAGAATCATACTCAGATGGTGAAGATTAATGGGTCCTTCTCTAACTGGAAGGAGGTAACAAGTGGGGTACCCCAAGGATCATTCCTGGGCCCGGTGCTCTTCAATTTTTTTTAATGACTTGGATGAGGGAGTGCAGGGAATGCTTGTCAAATTTGCAGATGATACCAAATTGGGTGGAATAGCTAATACCCTAGAACAGCGGTCCCTAACCTTTCTAGCCCTGCGGAAGGCTGGGGAAGGCGGGGTACGCCCCTGCACTCGTGTGCATGCATGAAGGAACACATGCGTGCTCATGCGCAAAGGAGCGGGGATGCTCATGCACAAAGGGCGGCGCTCAGGGGGAACTCATGCACATGCACAAAGGAGCGGGGGAACGCTCATGTGGGTACAGGAGCACGCACACAGGCACAAATGGGCTGTGCGGGGGTGAGTGTGTGCGGGGGTGGGGGAGAGGTCTGTCTCCATGGCCTGGTCAGGTTCAGGCCATGGATCGGCACCAGGCCGCGGACCAGGGTTGGGGACCTCTGCCCTAGCAGACAGAAACAAAATTCAAAATGACCCTGAAAAACAACAGAATGAAATTCAACAGGGATAAGTGCAAAGTACTGCACCTCAGAAAAAGAAAGCAATTGCACAGTTACAAGATGGGGAATACCTGGCTCAGCAAAACTACAAGCGAGAAGGATCTTGGAATTGTTGTAGATCATAAGGTAAATATGAGCCAACAGTGTGATGCAGCTATAAAAAAAGGCAAATGCTATTTTAGGCTGCCTTAATAGAAGCATAGTTTCCAAATCCTGTGAGGTTCTAGTTCCCCTCTATTCAGCACTGGTTATGCCTCACCTTGAGTATTGTGTCCAGTTCTGGCCACCACACTTCAAGAAGGATGCTAATAAACTGGGACAAGTTCAGAGGAGGGCGACAAGTCTAATCAGGGGGCTGGAAACCAAGTCTTATGAGGAAAGGCTTAAAGAATTGGGCATGTTTAGCCTTGAGAAAAGAGGGGTGAGGGGTGATATGACAGCACTTTTCAAATATTTGAAAGCCTGTCATACAGAGGAGGGGTAGGATCTGTTCCAATCATCCCAGAGTGCAGGACATGCAACAATGGGCTCAAGTTAAAGGAAGCCAGATTTTGTTTGAATATCAGGAAAAACTTCCTAACTGTTAGAGCAGTACGACAGTTGAACCAGTTACTTTGGGAGTTGGGGAGTGCTCCAACAGTGGAGGCATTCAAGAAAAACATAATCACCTGGCAGATATGCTTTGATTGTATTCCTGCATTGAGCAGGGGGGTGGACTTGATGGTCTTGTAGGCCCCTTCCAACTTCACTTTTCTATAATAATAACACAACAGTTGCCTTAGCAGGATGCAGAATTGCCCTTCATTGAATCTCACAATAAGGCTCAGACAAACATTTGTATTTTAAAAGGCAATCATAATAAATATCCTGTTGCAAGTTCTAGAAACAGTGTAATTAAAATCTGGTTAATTAATGGTTAATCACCGCAAGGTACTGTCTCTCTCTGTCTCTCTTTTTTTTTGGGGGGGGAAGGATATATAATTATATATATCTATATATATATCTGGCCCAACAGATATAGGACTCACCATATGTTATGCCAGGATGACAAAAGAATTCATGACCACTATTAAATGGCATTAAAAATACTTGATGGCAAGAAAAAAATCATTAAGAGCTGAAAGATACACAATATATACTGGAAAATGCTGTGGTTGACTGGATCAAATCTGGAGCAGCAATACAGGAGTGAGAAGCTCAACTTCCTCCAACTACAAAGAAATTGTTCAGATCTGAAAACACTGTGTGCATGCGTACATGTGCACACACACACTGTGCTGTCAAGTCAGAACTGACTTATAGCGATCCTAATAGGGCTTTTATGGTAAGTGAAATATTTAAGGAGTGGTTTTACCAGTTCTACTCCCCCAGTGAGTTTCCATGGCCACGATAGGATTTGAACCCTATTCTCCAGAGTCCTAGTCCAACAACACTATACTGGGAATCATGAAACCACTATATTGGGAGCTAAACAGAAGAAAACTGAAATACATCCAGTGTAGAGCAGATGGAGAACCCAGAGATTCAGTGACTGACAGCTAATAGAGGGTATTAAAACGACAGCAAGTGAAAGAATAAGTGAGGTGAAATCCAGAGACGAATAAAGGTGTGTGTCAGAGAAACAGAAACAGCAATCAAGAGGCTGAAGAGGTGATCCGAAGGTACCGGCTGCAGCATCTCTTGAGATACTCCTCTTGCATTCGCGTGGCAAAAGATTTGGGATGACAAACTCTGCAACTTGCCCCGAGATCCTGTGGCATAAGGCGGCCTATAAATGTTTTAAATCCATCCATCCATCCAAGGGATATTCTGCGTGCTTCCAGTTGTAGAAGTGAGGGGATCACAGCGAGCGAGCCTTCTTCGTTCTGGAGCCGTAACGCCCAGTAAACAAGCGAGAGGTCTGAAGTGGTCACCAGCCCCCCTCTCTCCCCTCGGCGGCCACGGCACCCGCCCCCATGTACCGCATAGTATTGTGCCGGGCCCCGGGGCCTCCCTGGTCTTCCCGGCCCTCAGCACCACCTCCCACCCCAGAAGGGCTCAACAGAACCGAACGCTCCAGTGGGCTACGACTGACAGGCCGGTGAGCCAATCAGAGTGGTGAAGAAGCCCCTCCGGCCAGAACCTCCCGGAACCAGTGCCCCCTTCCCAGCCTACAAGCTGCAGTACGCGGCGCGAAGAGGGCCTGCCTCGTCGACACCTGAACCGCAACCCGCGGCGTCTAGAGGACAGAACCGTTCTTTAGCTCACCTTCCTTTCAGATTCACGTTAACGCCGCGCTTCCTAATCAGCTCATCCAGAGATAAGTCCGCCATGTTGTCGCTAGGCCCCGAGATAAGTCGCAGAGACTGAATCCCGGACATGAGACAACTCCTTCCGGTCTGCCTCCCTCCGCGTGCACAATATGGTAAATAAGCTCTCGGCTGCGGTTGAGAGAACGCGCGCAAGGTCGGAACGTCTCGGGCACGAGCTTCCCATAACCCCTCGCGAAGGCAATCTTTTAAAATTTGCATACCTACTGCGGTTCCAAGAGAAAAATTCTGTAGTTTTAAAAGGATTTTAAATTTATTCCATATTTAAAAGTGGCGGAGGGGAAAATACGATTTTATATGCAAGAACTGGTATAAATAGTTTGACTAGGTCATCGTTACTAGAAAAGTGGTTTCACTCAAGCACATGCGCTCCTTGGGAAAGAAATTTTTATGCCTTAAACTTATGAGTAAGGAAAATAATGATTCGGGGTGACGCCCGGGTCCTCACTGCTTATGTGAGAAGAATTTTTGAACGGGTACAGGTCGTCCCTAAGGTGACCCGCCTACTTAGCAGGATGCCTGGGAGGTTTGATCTGCCCGATTTATCTTGTTAATGTTTGAGAGAAAAAATAATGCTGTTCTTAAGCGTTTTTGGGCTTGAGCAGTATCCGTCTTCTGAGGTGTTTAAAAAGATGTATACCAAAAATGCCAGGATTGCTTTCGCTTTTCACGGAACAAGTTTAAATTATATGGCTATTCCATTAACAATGAAATTATTGTATTAGTTTGAACGAACCGTCTCCGGCAAGCCCACCCACGAACAAGTACGGACCGGGGGTTGACAACCCCTGGTCTAGTTTATGTCTTCTTCTGTAATATTGTACTTAAAAGTTCAGATTTTTGCTGAGAAGACCCAAAGTTTTCTAGTGAATTTTGCTGTAGCATTTTATATCAGTCACATAGACTCAGGAGTTGGAACAGTAATGTTGAAGCAAGCAGTGTCAAGACTTGAAACAATGACTATTCCTGGAATCCTGCTGTTTTTTTCAAGGTGCTGCTTTGGCTAAGTGTATTTCACTACGTGTACACACACAAGTGAAAGATCTAGTAGCCAGCACAAGGAAACTTAGTATCTTTCTATCTGCATTTCAAATTCTTTGTTAGGCAGCTTACTATAAAAAATGTTTACAGAACCCAACAAACAGAAATTGAAACACCATAAAATTATATAGAGGGGATTCCAGAGAACAAGTAGAACTTATCAGTCTGTATATAAATTATGGTAGGGTACTTCCAGGAGGCAGTGGAAGACAGGACGGCCTGGTGTCCATGGGGTCACGAAGAGTCAGACGCAGCAACTAAACAACTTCCTCTTATGTGTATGGGGAAATACTTATAATAATGCCTTATAATATAAGCATTTCCCTATACACATAAGAGGAAGTTATGTAATTAATTAATTAACAAACATAAGCATAAGCAAAGATAGTTTTCTAGTTCCATCGAAAGGGTGTGTTTTTCTTTTACCCACTGCCATGGAACTATAAATCCAGCTTCTTATTTATTTATGCTTATTCTTAAAATCCAAATCCTTAAAAGCAAAAATTATATTAAAACAACCAAAAACCTTGTAAAATTTTTAAAAATGGTTTATAATAATCAATTGGTCTTACTAATATTGACCTATGGAGCACAGGTCTGTACAAAAACTGTAACAAAAAATCTCAGAGCAATGGACAGATGTAAAATATTAGAGGACAAGATAAAGTAATATATTGGATTATTTGACATAAAACCAACATAATACAGTGGTGCCTCGCTTAACGAGCACACAGTTTAACGATGAATCCGCATAGCGATCTTTTTTAGATTGCTAATACGATCGCATTGCGATGTTCTGAATAGGCAAAACATCGCACTGCAATGATCGGTAAGCGTTTCGCTTACCGATCTTCGCATTGCGGTTTTTTTAAACAGCTGACCAGCGGTTCCAAAATGGCCGCCGGGTGCCCAAAATGGGCGCCGCAAGTGTTTTTACGCCCTGCCCTCACCAAGGGCGCGAAAATGGCGGCGCTATGGAGGAACTTCGCTGAACGGTGATTTTGGGAGCCATAGGAACGCATTAAACGAAGTTTAATGTGTTCCTATGGCTTTTTCCGTTCCGTTTAGCAATGTTTCTGCATAGCAATGATTAATCCAGAACGGATTAATCGTCGCTATGTGGGGCACTACTGTTCAGTGGTGCCCTGCTTGACGATTACCCCGCTCCACGACGAATCCGCTTTACAATGAGTTTTTTGCAATCGCTATTGCGATCGCAAAATGTTTAAATGGGGAAAATCTGCTTGATGACCATCAGTTCCCTGCTTTGGGAACCTATTTTTCGCTTCACGATGATCAAAAACAGCTGATAGTCGGGGTTTTAAAATGGCTCCCTGCTGTGTTCAGGAGATTCTTCGCTTTACAGGCATTGGAAAATGGCCGCCCTATAGAGGATCTTCGCTGCACTATGAGGTATTTTGCCCACTGGAACGCATTGACCGGTTTTCAATGCATTTCAGTGGGTTTTTTACTTTCGCTTGACGACAATTTCGCTTAACAGCGATTTGAACGGAACAGATTATTGTCATCAAGGGAGGCACCACTGTAGATATAAAACAAATAGCATCATTAAAATGAGGTGGATGGACCATACAAGACAGCTAGATGGACAATAAAATAAATCTATATTTGTCTATCAGACAATATATTATATATGTTCTGTCAGATAATAGAGTAAAAATATATCACCCATTATCTTGGACTTGAGGAAGGAATACAGGAAGACTGTAAACTACACGGACGATTTTAAAAGATCAACAGGAACTGGCAAAACAGACATTTATGGGAGCAAATCAGGTCTGTATCCAACCTGGCACGTCAATGAACTAAAGGAGGAGGGAGAAGAAAGGGTTCACAGGACAGGCTCCTCTCCTAATAAAACCACACAACTAACCTGCAAGTTTGGGTATTGTTGTTGCTTCATTGTAGTAGCCTCCTCCCCTCACCAACCCCACCAATAGCTGAGGTTTTTGTATTCATTCTGTGTTCAAGGTGGATTCACATAACTATGGTTTTGAGATATTTTTCAAATGATTTAAAAGGTGTAATTTTTAATGTAGATACTGCAATATTTCCACATTACCTGTTATAGTTGTATTAATTGTATTAAATAAAATGTCAAGTAAAGTTTATTCCTGTAAAAGAGTTAACTCCTGTGTCTTTAATTTTAATAATTCCTTGCCATTAGTCTCACAAACTGTGTGTGTGAGAGAGAAGTGTTTGGGATTGAAGAGAACAGGCATCTGCAACTACAGTAGCTAAAAACAAACAGGAATAGCCAATACTTCCAAGATTCCCAAAAGAATTACCATTAGAAAAGCCACAAGGACAAGAATCACACTAGTATTTCTTTTCAAAAATTGCTGAGTAGAATGTTCTATTCAAGTACAGTACAATTCATATTTATTTATCTGTGGCTATCCAAAAGATGTACTACAATTGCCATCCACCGTAGCCAGCACAGACAATGGCGAGGGCTACAGGCACCACAGGCCAATGATATATGAAGGGCCAAGTGTTTCTTTCCATGGAATATATAGGGTAGCTTCAGATTTTTCATCAGCTTGAAAACCAAGTTAAATCTCAAAAGAATTGCAAGCACAGTCTGTACAGAAATGAGGGTAGTGAACAGATAGCAAAGGACATTTAGAAAATAACACTGTCTAATATAATACACACAAACTTTAAATTTTTTCCATAAGTAATTCAAACAAACAGGACACAATGACTAAGCTACCATTCCAACATGACATATGCAACTTTAACGCAGCAGGGAAATAGACTACTTTAACCATAATAGCAGACTTTCCAGAAGCAGAGCTCAGTGTCTCTCTGCAATTAGAAAAATCAGGCCTATAGCCATTGACCAAATTTACATAAGCCCTTTGAAAAATGTGGTTCATTATTGTCCACAGCACAGCAGAGAAGGATGCAGAAAAGAAAAGAAAACTCGTGGAATGTTAAATGGTACATGCAGAACACTCAGAGCAATGGAAAGTTGTACACTACTGTGGAAAACTATTAAGTTTAATCTTCTACTGCAAGCAAACTAACTCAATTTTTTTAAAATGCAAACCAAAATCAGAACACTAAATGTATCTATGGTTTTCTTCTGGGCTCATCTCATACAGCTAAAAGAAACCAGCAGTGCATGTTTACAGAAATCTTTTTAATTTACTCTGACCTAGCTCTGATGAAAAGCAATGTTTTAACAAAGGCCACTGATTCATCAGAGAATCATATGGAAACACAAGTCCAATCTAAATCAGATATTGTGTATTTGGAAAAATAAAGGAAGACAGTGCATAGAACCATACTTGGGATACCAAGTACAGTTTAGTTAGTCACAATTTCAACAATAAATTTCTTGGCCACTTTAAACTGAATTAAGTCTCTTGAACATACTAATACAAGCTTTAAGACATTATGGTTAACCTTTCCCAGTGGAAGCTGCCACTGTGCATGTGTAAGAGCAATCTAATAGTGCATCTTCCTCTGAAGGGTTGGTTGAATAGCCTAGTCTGTGCTTCAAATAAATGTTCTTTAATACGTATCTGCATTTTTAACTCAAGTTTCTTTCAAATTCTTTTTAAACTGCCACCTCACAACTTCCAGATCCACCTCCCTCTGCAGTGAGATACACTTAACTTGATAGTGAGCAACATGCAATTTACTTGGGAGAAAGCAGAGGGAAACACACAACTATTTCACTGGACAAACTGGTTGGGGTTGGTTTTTTCTTTTGTTTATTTTTATTATTATTTATTGTTTTACAATTAAGGATGTGCAGTTAACACCCCACAAGAAAAAAGCAGAAAAAAGTTTTATGGAAAAAAACCAAAATATACTGAACACATACCAATCAAATGGTAGAGATATGGGACTGGCTTTGATTTCAAAGTTTCAATAGAAATTTTAAAAAGGATGAAATGTAATAGCTGTTCAATTTCCAAGTCTAAATAGGCACTGTTTAAAAAAAAGTTGTTTTTTAATTTTTTTTCCATCACATGGCCCCAGTCTAAATACACTGCCAAATATCTTAGGCTTTCAAGAAGTTAACTGAGAACACCATCTTTCAGTGATAATAAAAGCTCAGGACCCGCCCACCCCCCCTCTTTAAAAACCACTTCGTGCTGTTGGAGAGGAGCAAAATTAGAGCTTATAAAGGTTTGAAAGCATCCAAGGCAAAGAGCACAATATAATTTGTTCACTATAACTTGTATTGAAAAAGGAGAATAAAACACAGAGATCTACATCTTGGTACATAAAACTGTTGTCTTTCTTGGAGATCTTTGAAAATACGTTTTACAGGTTTATTGGAGGAAAGGGGGAAAGGACACTGCTTAAGTCATCTTCAGTTGAAGGGGTCAATTTATACTTCATTATAACCATTTTTATACACTGTACATCTACCCTAGTTGGATCAGTGTGTGGTACTGCTCATTGGTGTCCCTTTGAATAACTGTAAACTAAACCACAGTATGCAACTCCATTGGAAGCTAAAGATCAAATGAATGTACAGCCAGTTATATTTCCCCTGCTTCACGCTCTTCAGAGCTTCTTCTGTCTTCTGATCGACCATTAGCACTTTCATAAGAACGTTTCCTGTCTTTGCAGTCTCGCTCTCCAGGTGACTTTTCTCTGGGGCTTCTTTCTTTGTCACGTGATGTTCTGGTATGGTCTCTTGACCGTTCTTGATCTCTGGAAGCTCTTTCTTTTGAGGACCTAAAATAAACCACAATCAATTTAAAAAATCTACATTATCTTATTTAAAAAATCAATATAGCTAAAAACAAGACTACTGGAGCACAAGGTAGCACACAGAGAATGCACCATATTCAGACTCTGAAGAAAAGTTTATATTTAAACGTGTTCTAAATCTGACATTCCAAAACAAGGACAAAGACAAACACCCTTCAGTCAAAATTCTAAAGGATAGGGAGCTCAAACTATTGCCACCTAGCATATATTTAACCCAAGCCATGGCATTATTAATGGTCAAATGATAAAACTGTGTTCATCCTCATGTGCCCACATTCATTAATACAATGAAAATAGGGAAACTCTCTGAAATGAAATCAAGCCAGCGTTCTCCTCATCTGGCTAGTCAGCATAAGAAGTTTGTACATCTGCAGAAAGATGCAGGTTCTCGTCACCAAGTTCAAAATATTATTTTTATACAGCCCTATCAATGTACATGTTGATTCAAAATTTAGAAACAAGAGATACATATTTGTAGCTTCAAGTTTTTATCTTGTATTATTTGTTATTTAAGATTACACACAATACACATGGACTTCAGAGACTACTCCACATTCAAATACCTTACAAGCAGCATCCTGATAGTGAAAAATGACTTATGTGCTGTCAGAGTCAACGTTTATTATCAAAAGAAAAGATGGGATTGTTCTGAGGAGGAGCAAGCAGCAGCCATAGCATGTGAAGTCTTGCTAGTAGCACATGAGTAGGGACTAAAGATGGTTACGAATTAAAAAACAAATAATCAAATTCATTCAAAAATCGCTAATTTATCCATTTATGTTCATATGAATCAATGCAAATACAAATCAATTAACTTTTAGTGATTTTTGATCTGGCGATTTGTTTGTCTATAAAACTGCACCCAGTCACCAAAATTGCAGGGACACTTCCTCTGACTCTCCTCTACAATTCCTCCATGTTTGATGAAGCTCATGTTTCCCCAAGCCAGCTTATAAAAGGCACTTTTTTGGGGTGACCCAATTTGTTGGTATATAACATGGATGTCTGAACCCCAATCTTTACCAAACATGGTGGGATTGTAGAGGAGAGTCTGTAGAAGCTTCTCTGTGATTGTGGTGTCTCTAGGTGCTTGGGTTTTTAATTTTAAAAAATGAACTGACAAATCAATTTATCAATTCATCAACAGAATTCATAAATTAATGATTTGTTGAGCTTGACAGTCACGAATCACAATTTTTCTGATTTGTGTCCTCTCTAGCAAAGATGCTAATAGAAAATAAGGCCTACAATAAATTTTTCTATTAGCTTTCTTTATCATCCTTCAGAACAAAATTACTAGAGTCATTTTAGAATGTCTCATAGATATGGAGTACTCTGAATAAAGAATGCTTTAGATATAGAAGAGACGAAGCTGATGAGGGACATATGGATTACATATGAATAATTGATAGGGCAAATGATTTTGACAGCCAAGTTTTGGATAAAGGTAGCAAAAGTGAGCTGAAAATTAGAAAGACTACAAAGAAGGCTACAGTATTTATGCAGTAGTAAATGTTCTAAGGCAGATCGTTCAAATTTGCTTCTGAAAAAGGACTTGTGCTTCCTTAGTAGTATTAGAGCAAATATATCACCCCACAGTGCTTAAAGCGCTCTCGTGGCGGTTTACATGTTAATTATGCAAATAACACATTGCCACCCCCCCAGCAAGCTGAGTACTTATTTTACTGACCTCAGAAGGGTGGAAAGAGTTATAACTGCTATCAAAAATGATAATTTTCCTTCCTCCATCACAAAAATAATTAAAATTATGGTGTTTGTCTGTTAACTATGTTTTTTGCGAACTGATATATTACCTTTTTTTAGAACTTCGTTCTCTGCTCCTGTCCCTGGAGCTATGTCTGCTTCTCTGGTGACTACGGCTCCTGCTGCGACTGATAGAGCGAGACCTGTGACGGTGACGTTTCTCGCGAGACCTGGATCGAGTTCTTTTCTTCCGTTCACGTGAGGAGGAACGAGATCGATGTCGGCGGCGATCTCGGGATCTAGATCTTGAAAGGGATTTACGTTGGATAACGAACATGGTTAGGCCTTTTGTGTTAAAATGAAAGATCCAAAAACACGAAAGAGGTGCTCTTTTGTGAAATCTGTGTTATTTTGTCAGCTGTCAAAAGTGAGCCTTTATAACATGAATGATTTCAGTTCAGAAAACAGGGTACATGAAAGTTTTATTTTGCTTTTGTGCCATCTTTTTCATGTTACCTTTCAGTGACCTAATGTCTATCAAATTACATCAGAAAACTTTCATCTAACAGCATCACAAGGACTATCAGTAGCAAACACGGGGTGGGGTTTTTTGGGGGAAGCTGAACCGGAACATTCAATTTGTAAAAGAGCCTAGACCCAGTGAGGAATGCTCTTTTTGCTCCAGCCAATCCATGTGGTATAATCACCATCTTAGAACTGTAAGCTGGAAGGGACCCTATGGATCATCGAGTCCAGCTCCTGTCAAGGAGGCACAGTGAGTAATCGAACTCCCAACCTCTGGCTCCGCAGCCAGATACTGTACATAAATCACTAAGCTATCCAACAGTTATTATTGTGTGCTGGACACTTGGTGCCCTCCATCTTGGGTTGCCACCTGCCTGCTTCCATCTTGGATCCTTTTTCCTTGATTTTTTGTTTGTTTGAGGGATTCTACCTCCCTCATTTCTTTGAATTATTTTTCTTATTGCCAGGCATCTTGCCAGTGCCAGATTATATATTTTGGATCCACTCCCCAATTGCTTTGGAAATATTTCCCCCTCTTTGTTTGTTCTTTTCTTTTTCTTGGTGTGCGTGCCTTTTCTTTCTTGAAATATTTTTGCTGCTGCCTGCTGAAGTGAAGGTGTCGAGCAGTAGGAGGACTGAAATCTCTCCGTATTCTCGTAATTTGGGCGGGCGGGCTTTGATTTTTGTTTTTGCCTTTATCTGGTTGGTTTTTCAGAGAAAGAGCTGTGTGTGGCTTTTTATTTATTTATTTATTTTTTGCTATTTTCCCTCTCTATATGTGTTCTATTTGCTGTGTATTTATTGTACTAAAGGTGTATATTTTGGTTGTTTTTTGGAACTATTTTTGTGGTGATGTATGCGCTGGGGGTGGACTCCACCAGTATGCCACTGGACCATGTTAATGTGACAATATAAACTAGTCCCTGTACAGCTCTGATTATAATTATCTTTCTCATATACTGTTCAGTTGTTTTTGGAGTAGACTAGTTCTCTGTTTTCTTGCCTCTTTTTTTGAATAATTTTAAATAGTTTTTTTAAAGTCTTTTGGAATTACAGAAACAATAATGGGAAACTTGAAAGCATATTTCCCTTTTGTGTAAAAACAAAAGGACCACCAGTACATGAAAAATACAAAACAAAAGAGGCACCCCCCCTGAAAGAACCTGAAATGAAAGAAATACAAAAAAGTTTGCTGTGTACATTCCAAATAAGGAAGGAACCTTTAACAACTCTAGTAAGAAAATTTACATCTCATTTGTATGCACAAAATTTCTTACTGGAACTGCTGCTACAAGTCTGTAAGTTTTGGACATTAGCAAAGTGCTATTCTGGCAGGTGAAAATCCCTGCACCTTAACATATGAAAATTTTAAACAGTTTTTAAAATGGTAAACTCAATCACTTCCTTTACTGTGTTCTATTGGCAAGGCCAATTCTATACTAGTACCAAGATATGCATTATGAATTGGAGGAATTTGCGACATCTAGACCATAAAAGGTTAAATGCCAATGTTAAAAAAATTCACTGGTTAAAAAAACCAACAGCAGTAATTAATTCAAATCCTTTTGTGTCTTAAACTTCCAGTCACAGCTTACTGCCCAGATATCTAGTAATGTGGCCCACAGTCACTGTGACCAGGATACCAAGAGTACACTCCCATTAGTTCCCAGTGCTTCTGCTAGAATTGGTGACCCCTTCTTCCTCCTGCACCTCAGCATCTCCTCTGTGCAATCCAAAAAACTGTTCTGAAGAGCTGGGAAACCATCTGGTGTAAGTTGTTGGCACCACAGAGGGCTATAGCAGGAATGGAAGAAAATTTTACCTCAGCTGGTAGTGGATATGGAAGTACCTACTGGATCTTGGCCACTAAGCCTTGTTATACTGAGGACTCATTCAAGTGCACTTCTGCAGCAAACCTACAGTATCCTTTTGTCACATAAAATGTGGACTCCAATTTCAGTACTAATAACAGCAGGCCAAAGGGTGCCCAAGTTGAAATACAAAACACAGTATTATCCACTAAGAGTTCTCTGTGGCTGATGATGAAACACAGGGTCAAAAATTCAAATCTCTTGCTCGCTAGGTACAGTGGTGCCTTGACTTACGAACCTCCCAACCTACGAACATTTTGAGTTACAAACAGCTCCATTCGCAAAATTTTGCTTTGACTTGCAAACAAAAAAAGAAAATGCGGGAAAGGCTGGAAATTTGAACTTTCAGTTAACCGTTGGCCAGCGAAGAGGCTGCTTGTCTGCTACCTCGCTCACCCCAGTGGTTAGAGAGTGTGGAGAGAGACTTCAGACTGCCTACTGCCTGGTACCGCACTGTATGGACTGTATTTTTTTGGCTTTTTTATTTTTGGATTTTTTACTTTCTTTTTTAAAAGAGAGAGACTGCCTGTTCTGGGTGAGTACACTGTATTTAATTTACAGGGGTTTTGCAGCTTGGGGTTGGGATAGGTGGGGGGGTTATGTTTCTGTGCTGACTGTTGGCTTTAAAATCAGAAAACTGTTTGCAAAGGTCTGGCTGGCTGTTGGCCTCTAAAATGTATTTTAGTCATTTGGTTTTAAAATCAGAAAACTTTTTGCAAAGGTCTGTCTAGCTGTTGGGCTCTAAAGCTAAGTGACCTCTCTTTTGTTTTAAAAGGTATTGGTGGGTGGGTTTAAAAGGTGTGGGTTTAAAATGTGTTTTAGACTCCAAACTCCCCCCATTGTCTTCTCTCTCTCTGTCTTCTCTCTTTTTGTGCTTAAAAGCACAAAACTTTTTCTGAGGGGTTTGTGTGCCCCAGTGATGATCTTCTTCTTTCCTCTTTTTCCCATTGGTCCCTCCCTCCTTTCCTGCCCTTTTTTTTATCTAAGTTCAACTTAGGTTAAAAGAAGAAAAATTCTCCCCCTAGTGGTAGAGGGAAATGCTGATTTGACTTGTGAAAATTTTGACTTACGAACATCTTCTGGGACGGATTAAGTTCGTAAGTCAAGGCATCACTTATTCCTGGACTACAATCACCTAGATATCTATTCAACTTAGTGGTTCTAATAGAGAAATACTTTTAAAAAGAAGAGATGGACCTTACCTTTTGGGGTTCTTGCTATGGGAACGAGATCTAAAACAAATGGTAGAGAAAATATCAGGTGTTATGTTATAAAGTCAGTTTGTACAAAATCTTAGTTGAAAGTGGACACTGTTGAAGAAGCAATGGATTTTGCATGTAAGCAGAATGAACAAGTCTAATATACTGATCAAAACTGAAAGATAACATACCAAATAAACTATTTGTTATTACAGATTATTTTTCTTTCCGTGGTTTTTCAGAATTTTAATAAGGATGGGAGTTCTTGATTTCTTGGACTGCAAATCCCTTAATTCTCAATTATGGGAGCTCTACATGACACACAGACATCTGACAAACACCTAACTGTGGTTTACCTGGGAGAAATGGCTCTGCTAGGCCCAGCTCCCTGTTCCTGCCTCAATACTAGCTGGGAGTTTACTTTTCAAACAGGATGCATGGTGGAAGTAGACACAGCACAGCCTCAAAGCCTTCCAATTGAGGCCTTTCTCACAGGTGAGCTACATTTTCGTGTCTGCAGGTGTCTGTCTGTCAGGCACAACTTCCAGAATGGAAAATTATAGATTTGTAGTCCAAAAAATTTTTTAAAACCCATCTAATTGCTATTGTTTTTTGTTTATTATTTATTTTAAAAAACCGATTTTCCCGTGGCAGAGTCATATCCATGAGGCTTTCCTGGGAAAATTAAAGTCATATTCCAAGTACATTATAAAGATTAATAAATCCTGCCTGCATCAGAGTCCCTTATTATTTATTTCATTCATATAAAAAAAGGTCAATTGCAAAATAATTCAAGTGTTTTATCCTTTTAGCTATATGCATTTGATGTTTAGCTTTTCCTGCAATGCTAACCATACCCTAGAATACCATGCTATGATTGATACTCCCTGTGTTTTTCAACCCTTTGACTTTAATCTGTCTTGCTGCCATCAGAAGATGGTCTATTAAGGATTTATGTAATATGAACTCATTCTCCCTTAAGAAAAGAGTAAGAAACACTAATTCCAGGGACTGAGTAATCGACTAATTCTGTTTATTTCAATAAACACCTCTTCCTAAAACAGCTCTACTTTTATGCAATACCATTTCATTTTTTTAAATGATCCCTCATACTTACAGCCTCTTCAACACAAACTGACATTGCAGGGTTGATATATGAGAGAAGAAGTAGGATCAAACACCATTTTTGGAGTATTTTCAATGCAGTTTCCCTAGCAATAACAGAGACCCCTTTATATGGAAATGTAAACATTTCTGATTACTAAATTTTCATTTATTTTAATATTTTAATCCTCTTCCCACATCTCCCACAACCCCAATGAAGAGCCTAGATCTGTCTCAATAAACACAAATTAGGTTTTGCCACTGTTCCTTTATTTATTTCAGTGAAAAAATGGAGAAAAATTTTCAAAGGGAGTGAGGTATCTCTTGGCCTGCTTCATGATGTTGGCTTGTCTAATAAAACTGCTTATTTGGTACCAGGTGAGCCACAATATACCCCATTCTCCAAAAATCTCTAGGAAGAGGGATGGCTTGTGTAGAACTAACCTAATAAGGCCGATCTTTTCAAAAACTTCAGGGGTTAGATACCTCATCACCTGCGAGAGACCTGGGTGACAATATTGGTCTTAGAGGGAAACATCTGGTAGGAACATCTCCTTTCTTTGCTTCCACAGTTGCATCTCAGGATATAAAATGTCATTTTGAAGCTGATATTTTAAGTCCTTTCTCACATAAAATATTTTTCCTACCTCAGATATACCCAATAGTTCCCTTTCTATTTCAAACAAGGGGATTCGGCCTAATCTTATGTCTAACTCCATCACAGGATGAAGTTATGGTAATAGGCTTTATAATATGTGTGGAATAACAGAATAGCCAACTCCCTTTGCGGACTGTACAACAGCAAAATGATCTGGCTGTCCTACGGTTTTTCCTATTGAAGATAAATATTTCAATTTCTTTCTGCCACATTTTGAATGTGGCATCTTGAATTTTTAATAGTAGGATATTAAAAAAGATATGTGAACCAGGGTAAAATCATCATCTTAAGCAATGCAATCCAGCTCGATAATGATATCTTATATTTATCCCATTTTTGCAGTTCTAATTTGGATTTTTCCAAATATAGTGGTGCCTCGACTTACGAATGCCGCTACTTACAACCATTTTGAGTTAGGACCAGCTACGGCTGGAAAATTTTTCTTCTACTTGCGACCAGAGCTTCCACTTACAAACAAAAAAATAAGGCAGGGGGAAAAAGCGGGAAATTCAAATTTCTAACTGTAGTTAGAGTGTGTGTGTAGTCGTCAGAGGCTTGGGACTGCCTCCTTCTGCTTCTGAGTGTGTGTGTGTGTCTGTTTGCAGGGAGGCTTTGGGCTGGCCTGTAAGGTAAGGTGCTGTTTTCGGCTTTTTAAAACTGTTCTGGGTGTTTTTGCAGCGTGGTTTTGAGCTGGGGGTTATGTTTCTGTGCTGTGATGGTTTGGGGGTTTTGTTTTTTGGGGTTTCCCCCCCATTTCCGATGGGTCTTGGGGGGTTTCCTTGCTTTTTTGGATTTTTCCCATTTCCAATGGGTCTTGGGGAGTTTGTTTGCTTTTTAGCTTTTTCCCCCCATTTCCAACCTTGCACGATCTGCTTAATTGCTTTTTGTTTTGTCTTGTTTGCATTTGCAATGGGTCTTGCGTGGTTGATTGGTTTTTGGTTTGTTTTCTTTGAATTAGGTCTTGCACGCTTGATTGCTTTTTGCTTTGTCTTGTTTGCATTTACAACGGGTCTTACATGGGTGATTGCTTTTTTCTTCTTCTTCTTTTTAACCCCTTCAGCTGGAAGGGGTCAATCGAGTTTCCGACCGGTCTTGCAGTGATTTTTTTTGGTGATCTTTTTCTTCGGCCAGAACGAATTAATTGCATTTCAATGCATTCCAATGGGAAAAGGTGCTTTGACTTACGACCATTTCGAGTTACAAGCATCTTCCTGAGCCAATTAAGTTCGTAAGTCAAGGCACCACTGTATGTGCATAGTTGGATTTGAAAAACATGGTGGGATTTTAGCTATGAAGACTCCTAAATATTTAAAGCCTTTATTTGTGAGACCTTTAACCTCTGAGATATTAAAACCTGTTCTGACAGATTTATTGAAGAACAATTAAATCTGATTTCCTAAAATTCACTTGGAGTCCTGCAATCTCAAAGAACTCCTGTAATTCCATACCCAGTATTTAACCTTTACCAAATACATGTGAATTAAACAGTACTGACACATTTAATGATATAAATATTTTTATTTTTGCTGCTATACCTGGGTTTCCAATATTTTGCTCCTGATCAGCAGCCTTGAAGGTGTGGGCAAGACTTTTTATTTAGAAGCCCCAACTGTTGACAGTAAGTGGAAATAAAAACTACTACCCTGGTCAACAACAGCCAATCCTTACCTCCTTAGCTTCTCTCTTTCTTCCCTCTCTCTTTCTTCTCTCCGCTTTAGGCGCTCCTGATTTCGTTTCTCCTGCTTCTCAGCCACAATCCTCTGAAACACAGGCAATTTAAAAATAAATAGAACTATATGAAACGTTTAGGATATAAATATCAGCATTTAGAAAGTTTTATTCTTATCCATTTCTGCCTTAAATCTAGCAGAATTACAACTTATATAATTTACTAAGGAGTAAATAATACATATATTTTTGCTCTAGTTCCACCTCCTTAAAGTTAATTTTTAAATTGTTATTTCCATATTAATCCTGTCACACAAAAGTGAGTAATTCCGGCTGTCATTATGGAAGTCATCATTGCTGACAAAACTACAGCATGGCAACCACATCCACATCCACTTTGTATTTAAAAAGTGTTACAATGAGTGTTACAATGAGTAAGGGGAAAGTAAGAATTATAAACCTAGAAATGTAGGAAGTAGTCATAAAATGGAGGTTTGAACAGCAATGTACCGAATGCTTGCTACAGCTGTTGAGAGCAAACAGCTAGTTTCACCAGACTGGTGAAACACACAAGACCAGCAAATCTATTAGGATTTCCAAAACTAGGAAAAGCCATAGAAAATGAATGTTTCTCTTCTAAAGCAAAAGCCCATACAGTGGATATAAAAAGTTTACACACCCCTGTTAAAATGTGACATGTCTGTGATGTAAAAAAAATGAGACAAAGATAAATCATTTCAGAACTTTTTCCACCTTTAATGAGACCTTTGAACTGTACAACTCAGTTGAACAAACTGAAATCTTTTAGGGGGAGGGAAGTAAAAATTAAAAATTGAAATATGATTGCATAAGTGTACACAGCCTCTTATAACTGGGGATGTAGCTGTGTTCAGCAGTAAACGATCACATTCAAACTCACGTTAAGTTGGAGTCAGTACACCCCTGCCATCATTTAAAGTGCCTCTGAGGAATCCCAAATAAAGATCAACTGTGCTAGCAGGTCTTTCCTGACATTTTCTTAGTCACATCCTACAGCAGAAGCCATGGTCTGCAGGGAGCTTCCAAAGCCCTCCGAGGGATCTCACTGTTAAAAGGTATCAGTCAGAAGAAGGGTACAAAAGAATTTCCAAGGCATTATATATACTGTACGAGGGGTGCTGATAAGTACAGTATTGAGCCTTTTCCAGAAAAAATTGAGTTAGGAAGCTGTAACTGCCACACTATTCTACATACATATTCCCCCAGGAAGTCAATGCACTTACGACATCTATCTTGCAGCTTCCCAAGTCCCTGAAAATAAAATTCTTCTGACTGCTGGTGTAACCACTCATTTGCAGCAATAGTTGGCTCCAGAACACTCCCAAATCGTTGTCTCTTTAGGTGTTTTTTGAGTTTGGGAAACAAATAATAGTCAGAAGGAGCCAGGTCGGGAGAATAGGGTGGATGGGGCATCACTTGAAAGCTAAAAGCTAGGACACATATATCAGGCAAAACAAAAAGAAAATAATAAAGATGACAAAAACATGGTGCCACACTGAAAATTAACTGCTATAGTTCAATGTGAGCTTCCATGGACAAGTTCACTTCCTCAGACAAAAGAATGGGATTATATGAAAAATATTTTTACAAATCAGTCCCATCATATCTGAAGAAGTGGACTTCTCCACAAAAAGTTCACATCAAAATATATCAGTTAGTCTTTAAGTTGCCACAACCTTTCCGTCTTCTTTATTTTTTATTTTTATTTTGTTTTTGCCTGATAGTCTAGCACAGACTAACATGTGTATCTCTTCTAAAACTACTAGGATAAATATAGTTCATTTCAGTTATCTTCAGTGCTAAAAATTCTGCATCCTAACTCATGATTTTTGCACCTCTGTCCTTAAACTCCAGTCCATAGCCATTCAAAAATACTGTGGAACCACAATCATTTACACCGATTTTTAAATACCACTCATTCTTCACCACATGAATATCGATTTCAAATATGCTATCAACTGATGGAAATCCATTAAAATAGTAAAAAAAGTAACTTTTAATAGTCTGAAGGAAACAGTATGCATTTACCTTGAGTTCTTCAAGCTTTTCTCTTATTTCAATAAATCCCAAATGCAATTTTCCTCCAAAGTGATCAGCAAGCCTCCTGTCATTATCATGGAGACCAAGATAAGCTGAACAGACTTCACAAACCCGAAGTTTCTGCTGCTGAAAGCTGGAAGCAGGCATGGAATTCCTGTACACTTCCTGGAAAACACATCACCATATTTCTCTCACTCATAAGAATAAAGCACAGTTGGATGGGTACAGAATGATCTTTACTAGCTAGAACAGTTTTAACACATCTGTTCCTTAATCAGAAATAAGAGATTCATCTAGACAAACTCTGTGCATAATCTCCAGCCTATACAGTTCAAAACCCATACCATCTCTCTATCTCTTCTCAGTGATGTTCATAGTTTTCCACCCTAGGTAAACATATTTAGTTTTTTTTTGTTTATGTGCCATTGCTATACCCTGGTTAGATTAGTAAGAGATTGAAATGTTTTAATTTATCTTATTTTGAAAATATGGGTTATTTCTAAAAAGTGGAAATATCCTTGTTCAGCTGTCTTCTGCTATATGAATTGTAAAACGATCAAGCAAGCAAATTCACTACTCTTTGCTCACTCCCCACCCCATTTTTCCTTTCCAAAATATACTGCTTGTTGTCTTCCTGCAGACCTTCCTGTTTTTCTCCAGTGGTCTCAACCGTATTGACACAGGGGTCATGAGTTCAGCATTAAAGGAAAATTACTTTGCTGTGATGTTTTAAAAGCTTTTATATCCTCCAATGCTGCTGGCTAACTCAGAAGATCTTTTTAACTTCATTGTCGTAAAAGAGCCAGAGAGTGCACTGTTGGTGTCATATCATGTCTTGACCAATGTCTTTGACATTATGTGATTTTATCTAAATAACGTATTTTTATCTCCCTGGTCACTGACCGTAAATAACAACAACAACAACAAATTTGCCAGAATTAATTTAGGAAAGCAGAGTACAGTGGTGCCTCGCTTAACGATTGCCTCGTTTAGCGATGAATTCGCATAACGATGGGTTTTTAAAGAAAATAATATGCACCATTTAACGATGTTTCCTATGGGCGATTTTCGCTTAGCAAAGTTTGGGACCATGCTTCACATAGCGAATGCGTTTTTAGGTCCCCTGCTTCACATAACGATGTTTGTTTTTTCATTTTAAAAAGTGTCTTAAAATGGTCAAAAACGGTTCTAAATGCTTGGATTCGTTAGAGCACCTTCTAAAACGGGTGCAAACTTAATGTGGCTTTGATCTGACTTTTTGTTAATTTTTGCTGAATTTTTTTCTTCCCCATAGGAAACAATGGAGCTGTCAAAATTTGACAGCTCCATTGTTTCCTATGGGGGAGAAAATAAATTACAAAAAATTAACGAAAGGTCAGCAACTGTTTTAAATGCTTGGGTTCGTTAGAGGACCCTCTAAATCGTGTGCAAGCTAAGTTTGGCTTTGTTCCGAGTCTTCGTTAATCCTTTGTGAATTTTTCCCTCCCCCATAGGAAATAATGGAGCTGTCAAATTTTGACAGCTGTCAAAAGTTGGTGGGGGAGAAAAAAATTCAGCAAAAATTAACGAAAAGTCAGATCAAAGCCAAATTAACTTTGCACCCGTTTTAGAAGGTGCAGAAGCTATTCCAAGCATTTAAAACCGTTTTGACCCTTTTATGACACGCTTAAATTTGCAAAAATTGACTTCACTAAACCATTGAAATGCATTAAATAGGCTTCCAATGGAGGAAACATTGTATCGCTTAACGATGTTTCCTATGGTTTTTTTCACTTAAGGACGGCAATCCGTTCCTATTGGAACGGATTAACCGGTTTTTAATGCATTCCTTTGAGAAATGGTGTTTCGCATAACAATGTTTCCCACAGCGATGGTTTTTTTGGAACCAATTAACATAGTTATGCGAGGCACCACTGTAACTTGATGACTATATTCTTGCTGTGTGATGCCCCTTAATATAAGGAAAGGAAATGTGAAGAAAAACTTAGTGGGAGTTACTATTTCAGAGTACATGTAATGTCTAAATATGAAATAACTGAGGACCAAATAAATGATCTTTCAATTTAAAATTAAGAACAATGTCTAATATCTACATTTTCTTTTTCTGGCTGCAGACCAAAGGAAACAAGCCTACACAAGTAGATCGAGATAATACTGTAAACAGTTTCAAAAGGAGCCTAAACAACACTTACACTGATTAAGAACTGAAAAAAAAGAATGAACTGATACTATGAAGCTACAGTGGTGCCTCGCATAGCGAGGTTAATCCGTTCCGGATTAACCTTCGCTATAGCGAAACATCGCTGTGCGGAAATAAAAAAGCCATAGAAACACATTGAACTTCGTTCAATGCGTTCCTATGGCTTGAAAACTCACCGCTGTGCGAGGTTCTTCCATAGCGCCGCCATTTTTGCGCCCTCGGTAAGCGAGGGCAGGGCGTGAAAATGCGGCGCGGACCTTCCGGCGGCCATTTTGGAACCGCCGATCAGCTGTTCTCCCCCGCTTCGTTATGCGATATTTGCTAAGCGAATCGCTTAGCGAATATCGCAAAGTGAAAAATCGCCATAGGGGCCATCGCTGAGCGAATGCTCCAGCAATGGCCCAGAGCGCCTCGTTAAGCGATTTCATTGCTCAGCGAGGCACCACTGTATTTCTATTTCTCTATGTAAACCATAACTTATGTACAGAATCAGTCACTATGGAAACTTCGGCAGGTCAAAAACACAGCTGTCAGGATGATTACAGGTACCAACAGATATGAACACACATTCCCTGTCTTGGCATGCCTTCATTGGCTCCCTGTTAGTTTTCATGTCCAATTCAAGGTGCCAATTATACCCTATAAAGTCTTTTATGGCTTAGGACGTTGATACTTGTCAGAATATCCCTCCCACAAAATAGCTACCCACCCCATTTGTTCCTCACAGTCCTTGATGCTAAAGATTGTGACACCTAAGGAGGCCAAAAGAGCTAATACCAGGAACCGTGCTTCCTTAGTTGTGGCTCCTTTCCTCTGGAATAACCTTCCTACAGAAGGTCTGTCAGGCAGCATCCCTCTTGGCTTTGAGAAAGTTAATTAAAATAGAATTGTATGAAGCTGCCTTATCAGAGTTAAACTAACTGACCTGAGATGTCAAATTTGTTTAATTTTAACCAAATGCTGGTTTATCTAGCTTGTGACAAGGTTTGTACAGTATTTATTGTATATTATGATTATTGTTTTGTGTGATTTGTAATTATGTCATCCCAGCTGTAAACCACCCAGAGAATGATCACATTAGTGGGGTGGTACAGAAACTGATCTTTTCCAATCCTCTGGCCACTGCAAGTTTGGAAAACTCAGCAGTGGCCAGAGGATTGGAAAAGATCAATCTACATTCCAAACACAAGGGCAATGCCAAAGAATATTCCAACGACCGTACATTTGCACGCATTTCACAAGCTAGCAAGGTTATGCTCAAAATCCTACAAAGTAGGCTTCAGCAGTATGTGGACGGAGAACTCCCAGAAATACAAGATGAATTTTGAAGGGACAGAGGAACTAGAGACCAAACTGCTAACATGCGCTGGATTATGGAGAAAACCAGAGAGTTCCAGAAAAACATCTACTTCTGCTTCATTGATTACACAAAAGCCTTTGACTGTGTGGACCACAACAAACTATGGCAAGTTCTTAAAGAAATGGGAGTGCCTGACCACCTTATCTATCTCCTGAGAAATCTATACAGTATGTGGGACAGGAAGCAACAGTTAGGACTGGATATGGAACAACTAATTGGCTCAAAATTGGGAAAGAAGTATGACAAGGCTATATATTGTCTCCCTGCTTGTTTAATTTATATGCAGAATACATCATGCGAAAGGCTGGACTGGATGAATCCCAAACCGGAATTAAGTACCGGAAGAAATCTAAACAACCTCAGATACGCACATGATACCACTCTGATGGCAGAATGTGAGGAGGAATTAAAGAACCGTGTAATGAGGGTGAAAGAGGAGAGCACAAAAATAGTCTGAAGCTCAACATAAAAAAAAATAAGCTAAGATCGTGGCCACTGGCCCCATCACCTCCTGGCAAATAGAAGGGGAAGATACAGAGGAAGTGACTGATTTTACTTTCTCGGGCTCCACAATCACTGCAGATGGTGACATCAGCCATGAAATTAAAAGATGCCTGCTTCTTGGGAGGAAAGCGATGATAAACCAAGACAGCATCTTAAAAAGCAGAGATATCACCTCGCCAACAAAGGTCCGCATAATCAAGTTATGGTTTTTCCAGTAGCGTTGTATGGAAGTGAGAGCTGGACGATAAAGAAGGCGGACCGCCGAAGAATTGATGCTTTTGAATTGTGGTGCTGGAGGAGACTCTTGAGAGTCCCCTGGACTGCAAGGAGATGAAACCTATCCATTCTGAAGGAAATCAACCCTGAGTGCTCACTGGAAGGACAGATCCTGAAGCTGAGGCTTCAATACTTTCGCCATCTTGTGAGAAATCTCCTTGGAAAAGACCTTGATGTTGGGAAAGTGTGAAGGCAAGAGAAGAAGGGGATAACAGAGGACGAGATGGTTGGACAGTGTTATCGAAGCTACCAACGTGAATTTGACCAAACTCCGGGAGGCAGCAGAAGACAGGAGGGCCTGCCATGCTCTGGTCCATGGGATCATGAAGAGTCGGACATCACTTAACGACTAAACAACAACAATAACACCTGTTCCTACAGTGCACAGGGGGTTGGGTTTTTTCTCCTATTTCACTGACCCAAAGAAAAATAGCAGTTTGTGACTTATCCTTTGCTTGAGCAATGTAAACAGTTACATAGAAACCAAGAAACTCCAAATGGTGTGATTGTCTGTAATAATGCCATTGTTGAAGAAGAGACTGATTTACCATTATTGACCTCAGGGATGGACATTTCCAGATCTCCAATCTGGCTGGATCATCACCATTTCCTCAGGCAACTGTATGTTCAAATTCACGTTCCTCCCTTTGGTCTGATGGCACCCAGAATGTTCACCAGACACATGTTTCTGGTGCCAGCTTATCTAAAAGTGCAATGGATTAACGTGACCCCATGTATCGACCATTAATTAATTGTGACAGATTCAAAGGACAGTGCCCAGAAAAGTGCTCTTCTCATTCAAAGTCTGCTGTTAAATCTCAGCTTTCAGGTTAATCTTTAAAAAAAAACACCCACCCCACAGACAACTCAAGCTTACAAGAATAATTCAGTACATTGGGACAGTCCTCACCATCTAGAACTGGCTGGACACCATCATGCAGAACAGGCAGTTCCCCAGGCCACAAAATTTTTCCTTCACCATAAGAAAGCAGTGTCCAGCTGCTGCATTTGGGACACCCACAACCACCTTGGAATTTGTAGCTAGAAAAGATAACTGCATGCCATCAGTGATTGTGCAGTTTCTAAATAGCTAAACAACATGGGAGAAGCACAGAAGAGAAGACTGAATGGGAGAAAGTATTCCACTCTTGAGGAACTGAAAAAATTAAAGGTTGTAGAGTGGAATAGAATTCATGCAGTCACATTCTGTGATGGGCCATCAAGATGAGCCACCTAACGCCAATCCGTATAATCAAGGCAGAAGGGCGCTGTGATTAGTAATTTCAAAAACTACATAGATATTCAGCAGGACCAAGAGAGTTGTACTGTCCATATCTAATACCCAGTTAATCTATTGCAGTAGAATTAGGCCAGAATCCAAAAGCTTTAGAGTGCCTGGAAGCAAAGAGCCCCTACAGTCTTTAGAGCTTTATTTCAGCCAGGGAAACTGAAAACTGGACAATCCAGGTGAAGTGAACTAGATTTCTTCAGTATAGATTGTAAAAGTTGTTTACTAAGAAGGAAGCAGAGATTAATTCTACATAAAAGTATTTATCACCTCTGAGATTCAGATCGTCACGAAACCTTTGGCATCATTTAGTAACAGGAATGAAGAAGTATACAGAGAGCAAGTATTAGATGACTTAATGACTAAAGAAAAACAAACATAGAAGTTGAAATAAACTAATCGTTAAGGACAGAAGAATAGTGAGCCCTCCTCACCCATAGAGACTTCTAAAGAAGAAAAGGGAACCAAAGAGGGGGAGGTGATTGAAGAGAGAGAGAGACCAATGGTGCTGGGAAGACTGGTGGGGGACCTCTGAAAGCGGCACTGGTTGTGGGGGACAGTGGCGCCTGCACACACCCCCGGTGGCAAAGCGCCGCTTTCAGAAGCCTCCCGGGGCTTGCCCAGCATGTAAAAAGGCAGGGGGAAAGCACCATTTTTTAATTTCCCACATTTTTCGCCCTGCCTTTTTCCATGTTAGGCAAGCCTCGGGAAGCCCCTTAGACCCAGTGTCGATCAGCTAAGAGGCGGGGAGAGGGGGGCAGGAGTGCAGGCGACCACAAAATGGCTGCCGCCTCCCTGCTGGTTGCCGACTCTCAGCTGTTTGGCGCTCTTTTTCCGGCTGTTCCGGGGCTACAAAGGCACTGTGAGGCGTGGGGCTCAGTCTACTGTACCTAGTAAGTGACTTTTTGCTGACTTTTTTTTCTGACTTTTTTCCCCATAGGAACACATTAATTAAATTTCAATACATTCCTATGGGAAACACGCCTCACAAGACGAAAAATATCGCAAGACAGCCTGGCCCATCTTGCGAGGCACCAAAAAACTCTAAGACCCTTGTGGGCTTTTTTTCCTGTGAGGCATTCGTCTTGCGTGGCACCACTGTAAGGGGACACCCTTTCATCAGATGCCAGAAAAGGGAAGAAGTAACTTAAGTTCTTCAGATTACGCTCTTTGCCCAACTATTCTTTCCATAGGACAGTAAATATGGCTTAAGCAATTGAAAATACAATTGTGCCCCGCTGGACGATTATCCCGCTCGACGACGAATCTGCTTTACGTTGACGATGTTTTAAATGGGTTTTTTTCACTGTGTGATGATCGGTTCCCTTTTTCGGGAACCGATTTTCACTTTACGATGATCAGCAAACAGCTGATCGTCGTAAAGCGAAAAAATGGCAGCCAGCTGAAGAAAATGGCCACCCGCTGTTTTCTAGGATGGATTCCTCGCTTTACAGGCACTGAAAATGGCCGCCGTATGGAGGATCTTCGCTGGACAAGCAGGTATTCAACCCATTGGAAGGCATTAAACTGTTTTCAATGCATTTCAATGGTTTTTTTAATTTCGTTTGAAGTTTTCGCTCTACAGCAATTTCGCTGGAACAAATTAAGGTCATCAAGCAAGGCACCACTGTATCCCCTATATGCACACAGTGTAAATTAACCTGTTCATTTAAAATTAATTAATTAGTAGGCTATTAGATTACGGACTATTGTTTTAAATCCGCTTCCTGAAAAGCAATATATAAACAATGCAAATTCATATTACCTCTGCTTCTCTCTTCTTTGCCCTTGCTTTCTCCACTTCATCCATCACTTTCTGTGACTCTTCCACATTCCCATCAGCTCCAAGTTGCTCTACTTTGGCAAGCAGCTTCCCAATTTCTTCATTCAATTCATGGACTCGTTCAGCCTTTGGAGAAAGAAAAATGAGGCCTGAAACTAGCAAAATTCAGAAATAGAAGCCAGATCTCCCTCTGTTTTTTTAAAAAAGAGGGAGATCTGCCAAAAGAAGAGGCAGTAATGGAAAATGTGTTAGCCTTCCGACATACCTTGTTCAACCTCCACATCTTCACATTTTCCATTATTTCCCCTCAGTCAGTCAGTCAGTCTTCTAGAGCCACCATGCATATTCACTACTCAGGAGGTTGGCTTGCCCCCTACTTTTTAAACTTATTCGGCATATTGATATCCTTTCATTTTGTGAAGTTGCCATTTTTATCATATCAGGATGAGCACACAATAAATCAGTTTGCTAATTATATATCATACTGAATAGCCCTGTGTATATTATTCTTCCTCAGTTGTAGTTCAACGACTGAACTACAGTAGTTCACTGTTTAAATGATTGCTAAAAACATGCATTTTAGACAGGTCTTTCTGGACCTTATAACATCCTAATACAGTGGTTGTCTTAACATTTATATTATCAGTCCTGCCACCTTGCTTCCATATAATCTTAATTATTTTCAGTTAAATTTTATTGGTGTGTTTGGCTTAATTTTGATTTTATAATTAATATGTTTATTGTTTTAAATTGTTATTCAATTTAATTGTTTAATGTGTAAACTGCCCAGAGTGGCCTTTACAGCCAAATGGACAGTATAGTATAAAAGACAAACAAACATCAGTAAAATAGAACTGGTAATAAACTATCAGAAAGTTACAGTGGAATAATCATCATTGAGTGTTAAGAGTTAGGGTTTACAGGGCTTTGTTTGTACACTGCCCAGAGTAGTGTGAATTCACAAGCAAACAATAAATCATTATTTAATGTTTTCAATACAACAGAATTTTACTTGAAAAATAATGTTTCCTGGAGGGTTTTGTTTTTCTGGTGAATGGTTAAACAGAAAAATATGTATCTGGGGAATACCATATAGATAGTAAGAATGCTTACTTTGGCTGCAACTTCAGCACTGATTTCTTCTTGGGTTTCTGCCAGTCTTTTCTTTGCCACTTCAGTTCTTCTGTCACAGTCAGCAATGAATGACTGCAGATGATCCCTTGCCTAAGACAGCAATAAAAAGATTATCATGGCTGAAAATTAGCAAGTCTTCATAATGCAAAGCTTTTGGCTTAACAATACGTCTTTGTGGTTTTTGGGAGGGCAGATTAAGTGTCTGTTAAACCTGTCTGTTAAAATTTTCTGTTTCACTACCTATGTTATCTATTTTACCAATGATATCACCAACTCACCATCTACCTTTTATAGGAGATCCTAAAGCAAATACTGTAGTTCAGAATGTACATGAACACTTTAGTCTCTAACACACATAACTCTACTGCTGAAATTGAGAGAATCAGTAATTAAAGTGTGGAAAGAACAGTCTTGACTTCACACCAAGAAACAAAATTTCATTGCTCAGCATTCCCCAGACCAGGAGATACCACTTCTTTAAAACTAGAGGTTGCCAAGCTAGGGTATTATTCTTCTTTACATGAAGCCCATACTTCTTAGCTATTTGCTTTTCTTTGTCAATACAAAGAAAGTCTCAGGTGTGATTTAGCTCTGCCATATTATTCTAACATTTGATCAGGTGGATGTCTGAAATGACTTGCAAGGACTTAAGGTAAGTTTGTTATACTGGAGTGAACTGTAGTCATTATATAAAAAAAACTTTGTAATTTTTGCACAGGATGCCAGCAGAAGCACTCTCTGGGCACTTTACAGTTTAACTATACAGGTTACACAGTCCTTACAGCAAGCTGGAGATTCAATTTATTAACCTTGGAAGGATAGAAGGCTGAGCCGGCTACCTGAGCCCCTCAAGATTGAACTTATCCACATGCATACTGTCTCAGCTTCCTCCCTCCCTCTGCTCAATTCTCTCCATGGCATCCATTTTCTCTCTTTCCTCCCAACTCCCATTCCATCCTGGTTGTTCTGCTTCCTCCTCCCACTGTTCAATTTTCTGCCAATTGCTCTGTCTTCTATTAATGTTGCTCTGTTTCCGCATCTGTGATGGTCTTAGTGTGGCAGCTTATAGCAGCTTTCTGTGAGAGTCACTCAGCTCCCACTTCTTGTCATATAGCAGTCATTTCAGAATCTGTAAAGTATACCACCTGCAATACATTTTGCAGGTCCTAAGGCAGTAATAGGTGCCACTATTAATAATCTGAATGAGGACAGCTAGGCGAACAGGGTCAGTACAACACCTGTAGGCACAGTGTTAGCATCACCAAGCCTAGCTCTTTCCCACAAAAATGTCAAAAGAGTAAGACCTACTTTTCTGATTTCCAAGAAAACTCAACTCACTACAGACATCAGGTTTTGTACTACAAGAAGTGGTGCTAAAGAATTCTTCTTAAGAGATTACACTTATTATACCTTTCTTGAACGTAATTCTTAAGGAAACATTCCAATCTTAATATGTGCTAAGGTACAGAAGGCAGAGCCTTCAAAACCAATCTTCTGGAAACTTGCAAGTATTCTGAGTGCAATGTTTTGGAGGATATGATGGAATGCTAACTACACCACACATTAATCTGTTTCCACATTGTGTTTTTCCCAGTCTTTATATAACAGTTCAATGGCAAAACATACATCAAGCTCAAAAAAAAAGTCTTGTTCTTTCGATGCGATTTCATAATCTGCTCTTAGTGCTAGGTCATGCACCTTCAGACATTCTCCAAGGTCCATTCTCTAAATGGAAAAAAAGAAGTAGAATTTTAAACAAAAGCATTAAATAAATATTTGCAAGGCATATTTTCTTCCACTGTTACATAAGCCATTACATGAGCCCTAAACAATGTATCTGAAATGCTTAGAACAGCAAGTGAGCAAATCTAGTCTGCATGGAAGTATTGTATTTTTCCATTCATAAGGAACCCCCCCCTTTCTAACCCCCAAATTAAGAAAATTTATTCATTATTCAGCCTCTGGGCTCAGAACGCTCAGACATTAGGAGTCTCTGTTTCATCTGAGCTTACAGGCTCCACCTCCAATGAGGTGTGTTCCAATTGGTTTGTACAGCATCAGCTGACGTCACTTCCATAAGGCTCATGATTGGAGGAAGCTAAGTCTCCTGACTGTAGGAACCTAAGCCTCGTGACTGAAGGAAGCCTGTTTACAGAGGCAAGGTACAGGCCATTTTGTTCTCTCCTCAGGTACCTCAGCTTACTTCCATGTATAAGGTGCACCTCAATATTTAGTGCAATGATTTTAGGAAAAAGTAGCATCTTATACACAGAAAAATACAGTATCCACAAGCCTCAGTAAAGATATGCTGATAAACTACTGCAACAGACAACTGTTTGAACTTCACCTATACAATGTAGCTTTTTTCAATAACCCTTGAAAAGCTGGTAAATCCTAAAAAAGTCTTACTCTTTTCCCTGATAAATTTGTGCATCTGGACCAGCTGAAACCTTTCTACAATATTCAAAGTCAACTCCACAAAATGTGTGTTACCAAACTCTGAACAGGTTTTAACTGTGTCCATGTATCACCATCAACATTCCCTCTAATTGTCGTTCCTGCTGCACAGAAGCCTTGTCCCATGTATGCGCAGAGGGTCGGGGCTTCAACCAAATTGGGAAATAAACCAGCTGCCCTCGAGCAGCTTCAATGGAGCTCTGCGCACCCACCCGTGCACACACCTTAGAGGGAACGGTGATCACCATATCTAAATCGGTACATGCATGGTATGAACTGACCTTAAGTGTGCAAATGCACTACAGTATCTGAGCATCTAGACCCATGCCTTTCAAGAGGACATCTAAACTGCTAACCTTATTTTTCAAAGGGGAGCATAACCCATCTAGTACAAATTGATTCTCTATTCTTGGATCTGTCTTTTGACTGAGAAAAATGAAGATAACAAATGATGCAAAATGATACAACCCCCGAGAGAACTCTCAACTTCAGTTTGAGAACTTCCAACCACAAGATATATAAATTAGCTTCTTTAAAGCTTAAACTGGGGTTGGCACCATGAAATCTATGGCTGCATGCAACCCACCAAAGGTATTTTCATAGTAGCCAGGGCCACCTGAGACCTACGCATTTGAAAAATTTTTGGAAGTTCAAAAAAAGCTCTACAGTGCTGCCTCGCAAGACAATGTTAATTCGTTCCGCAAAAATCGCTGTCTTGCAAAAATATCATCTTGCAAAACGCGGTTCCCCACTGGAATGCACTGAAATCAATTTAATGCGTTCCAATGGGGGGGAATTGTCCATAAAAAACATTGTCTTGTGAAACGCGGTTCCCCATTGGAATGCATTGAAATCTACTTAATGCGTTCCAATGGGGAAGCAAAAAGTCTTGCGAAGCATTGGTCTTAAAAAAAAAAATCTTGCAAAACACAGCTCCCCAATGGAATGCATTGAAATCTACTTAATGCGTTCCAATGGGGCGGGGAACCATCTTGCAAAGCATCGGTCTAAAAAAAAAAAAAATCCGTCTTGCGAAGCATAGACCCAAACATGGTCTTGCGAAAATTGTCCATAAGAAAAAAAGTCTTGCAAAGCGCAACAGCGATCGCAAACCCCCATCATCTTGCAGATTAATCATCCCGCGAGGCAATCGTCTTGCAAGGCACCACTGTATTTCCATTCCTAAAGGACTCCAAGAGCAACGATTCTTGCACTGGGGACCTTGGGCAGATTTCTCAAATCTCTGCACTATACCAAAGGATTAAATCCCACTTCAGGCACTTCCTGTTTTCATTTTTTCAAAACACATATGCCAAAATCAGTAATTTCCAGATCTGATACAGTCAGCAGTAGGGGATAGGGGCCAATATGTGCCCCCCAAAGTTTTCCAGCACTAGTCCGAGGCATTACATTCCTAAAAATGCATTGAAAATATTAAAATATGTGCAATGCTGTGAAAATGACTGTGATCATAGACAAAAAAGGGCAACTCTACTCCAAATACACTGTAAAAATTCAATGTAGTCTAAAGAAATACTAAAAACCTATGCCATAGCCTTCCAGTAAGGGTGACCTTGGAGAGAGGGAGAGAGGGAGGGAACAAAGTCTTGTGCCTTGTGCAGAAGAGAACCATTTCTGAAAGCCATTTCAAGATGAGCAGTTCTTACCTTTGACAAAAAAGTAGTGGTTATCGTTCATTGATCAATCATTTAACACTATTAATAATTTCAAATCATCATTAATATCATTAGTGATATTATTAATAATTATTCAAAAAGAAAAAACTTACACGTTATATATTTTTACATAAAAATGATTTTATTTTATCTTTAAATAGATACGTCCTTAAAATTATATACCAGAATCTAGCTTTGTAGTGATTGTACCATTCAATACAGTCTTCAACACCTTAAATTCTTTCGTATACAAAGTTTTTATTAATGCAATTATTTCTATGGTATGTATTCTATATGTTCCTATGTGTACTTGGTTCTACTATATGAATGGCATAGAACTATGGACCTTAACACACTCTTCTATAAAAAAGACAGAAGTACTTGAAATGTAGATTTACTTCATGATGCTAAGAACGTGACTAAGAAAAATGCAACGAATAAAGACCAAGAAATCATAAAATGTATAATATGCATAAAGTTAGAATACGTCAGTCATGTTATGAGAAATAAAAAGAACAAATTGTTCCAGATGACCATTTTGAGATAAAATAAATGGTGAAAGAAGTACAGGAATGAGAGGAGCTTCTTGGACGCAGCAGATCACTATTTGGAGCTACTGCATCTAAAGGTGGTATAGCTATTCTAAGATGCCTCACTCCTATAGGAGAAGAACACAAAGATGACACTAGGGGTGTAACTACATTACAAACTTAAGGACTTTTGTGGTGTGATGTACATGCCCAAGAAACTGCTTAACTGTCGTGACTTTTTCTTTTCTTTAGAGTCTTGGGGAATTAACCCAGGGTGTAAAACCACTGCATCATTAGCTTTGTTCCTGCTCAGCTGTCACTTCTGTGCTACAGTTTCATTCAAATTCAGATCAAAAGATTCTTGGTGATGTTTTTCAAATACCTGCAATTGCTTGTCAAAATTTATTTTGGAAAATTTAAATATTCACACTTGGATCTAAGCATGGATACAAAGTGCTTTGATACACACATGGGAATTAAGAGAGATGAGTCAGTTTTGTTATCTGCAGCAGTCCTTCGTACCAAATGGAGTGATGCTCTGGAGGGCTCCCAACTTTTGGAGGAGCTTTCCTCTATGCATGCAGGCTGCTGCCACAAGACAAAAATGAAACAGCTTTTGTATGTAAACAGAAGCAAGTATGGATTTCTCTAGATACAAAGTTCAGATCACAATGCTGATTTTGAGAGGAAAAGAAATTAACACCTGACATCTACTAATTGGCTCATCCTCCTTGTTCTTGTAGTTCCCTTTCTTTTCTCACATTCAACTAGAGAATGTTTCTCAAGTTATGCTGCTCTATGGAAGCACCATGTAGAGAAAATATCCCATCTTTCTAGTGTGCACTTTGTGTGCTGTGATGGTTTGTCAGTTACCCTGTGCTTCTAAGGATAACTGACTTCCTTTAAAAATTTAATGTGATATCAAAGATAAAATCATACCCATCCTCCTAGCTGGAGCAGAGACATTACAGTCACTACAGGTTTTGGCTACCTGAGCCCAGCCAGTTTTCAAATCAGTGTGACTGCAGTAACATATGTGCAGTTTCAAAATACAAGTATGATAGTCATAGGAACCATTTATTTCTAAACTTCAACCACTACATACCGTATTTTCCGTGTATACGACACCCCAATGTATATGATGACCTCCTAATCTTGTCCCTTGATGGAGGCAGAGGAAGAGTTAATCGGCAGCCGTGAGGGGCGGCTCCGCCTCTGTTTCCTGCTGCCTCCACTGCCCGATCATGTTGCTGCCTTGTCCCCTGCCTGAAGGGAGCCTGCGAGTGGCGCTGGAGAAGGCAATCCGGAGGAGGAGGCAGCAGCAGGAGAAGGCAGAGGCAAACGAGCAGCCGCACTTGGCCACCTCTCGCTGCTGCCCATTAACTGTTGCCACAGCTGCCAGATTGCCTCTGCCAGCGCTACTCGCAGGCTCCTTTCGGGCAGGTGACAAGGCAGCGTGAGCTAGAGATGAGCCCTGGCAGCAGGAGGAGGAGGAGGCGATCTGGCAGCAGCAGCAGCAGTCAATGGACAGCTGTGAGAGGCGGCCGAGTGCGGCTGCTCCTTTGCCTCCGCCTCCTTTCGTGTACAACAGTGGTCGGGAAACTGGGGTTAATTACCCCAAATGGGGTGAAAGTGAAAATCCTGTAAGTAATGAGCAGAGCACTACCCCCTCCCACCCCCTGCAGCCAAACCTCAAACTGTAAGCCACCTCTCCCTGTTACTTCCTTGGTTGCAGCAGGGCACTTGTAAATTCGTTCTTTCAGAGATCAGAGATAAGCATGCTTGTTTGGTTACAGCTGTGGAATAGCCCTAGGCAATCAATCAATCAATCTGGGGCTTGTAAATGACTGCTTCCGCTGTAGATGACTGCAAGCAAGCAGGAGGAGGGAAAGGATCCAGTTAGCAAGGGAAGGTGAGAGAGACGGAGGGCATCATCAAGCTTATTTAAATGTATGTAGAAAATGGAGGGAGGGAGGGTGGATGTGTGTGTGTGAGAGAGAGAGACTGACTCTGAAAAAAGAACAGGCAAAGCTTTAATTAAGGCAGGAAAAAAGAGTCGCTT